GTAGCTAAGACTACAGACACTCACCACCATGCCCAGCTTATTTTTGTACCTTTTGTAAAGATGAGGTTTCACCAGGTTGCCCAGGCTGCTCTGAACTCCTGGATATAAGCGGTGTGAGCCACCACGCCCAGCCTCAATGCAGTTTTAAAACTGAATTAGAAAATCTGAGTCCAGGCCAGAATTATATATATGAGTGTGGGTTTTAAGGTGTTTGTGTGTGTGTGTATTTGAGAGTATGGGTTTTAAGTTGTGTTTTAAAATTGTGTTGTTTTCGGCTGAGGCTGGTGGCTCACACTTGTAATCCTAGCACTTTGGGAGGGGGAAGTGGGCTGATTACTTGAGCTCACAAGCTTGAGACCAGCCTAAGCAACATGGTGAAACTCTGTCTCTACAAAAAATACAAAAATTAAGGTCAGGTGCTGTGGCTCATGCCTGTAATCCTAGCACTTTGGGAGGCCGAGGCAGGTGAATCATCTTAGATCAGGAGTTCAAGACCAGTCTGGCCAACATGGTGAAATCCTGCCTCTACTAACAAAAATTAGCTGTGCATGGTGGCACGTGCCTGTAGTCCCAGCTACATAGGAGGCTGATGCAAGAGAGTCTCTTGAACCCAGGAGGCAGAGGTTGCAGCAAGCTGAGATCACACCGCTGCACTCTAGCCTGGGTGACAGAACAAGAGTCCGTCTCAAAAAACAAACAAACAAACAAAAACAAAAATTAGCCAGGCATTGACATGTGCCTGTAGTCCCAGCTGCTTGGGAGGCTGACGTGGGAAGAAGGCTTGAACCTGGGAGACAGAGGTTGCAGTGAGCTGAGATGGTGCCACTGTGCTCCAGCCTGGGCGATAGAGCCAGACCTTGTCTCAAAAATAAAAAAGTATTGTTTTTAATTACTTATAATTTTAATTTCTTGTCATTAACAAACAGTAATTAAAAGAACCAAAAGTTAACTTTGCAGGTAGTAAAGCTTAGCCTACTATACATAAAAATCAGAAGGCCAAGGCAGGAGGATCGCTTGAGCCCAGGAGCTTAAGACCAGCTTGGGCAGCATAGTGAGACCCCGTTTCTATAAAACAACTTAAAATTAGCCAAGTATGGTGGCACACCCTTGCAGTCCCAGCTGCTCAGGAGGGTGAGGTGGGAGGATTGCTTGAGCCTGGGAAGTCAAGGCTGCAATAAGTCATGATCTCATCACTGCACTCCAGCCTGGGTGACAAAGCAAGACCCTGTCTCCAATAATAACAGCAATAATCAGAAAGCAACACTGCATGAAGTCAGCTGACCTGGCTGCTGGGGGACAGCTCTGCTGCGTCAGAGACTCAGTCTTCCTCCATTCCTGCTTTTGGTATTTGTTGATTGTGAGCTTTGGGCTGATCTAGGGTCCATGAAGAAGAAATGGTTCTTCCTTATCTCAGGCTTCTGTTACTTTGGGGAGTTATTTCTCTGCCGTGGTTACTGAATCCAACCCTACTTGCCTCTCTCTTCCACAAATTTCTTGCATGTGGTTCGTGGTACCCTTTTAACTCTTATGAACTTACTTCCTTTTAACATCATTTTCTTACTTTGAATGGAGTTTCAGCTGCAGATAGAGAGTGGTGTTGTGTGTACCGCCTGCCGTCTTGAGCTGGAGATTCTCAAAGAGTTTGTTTCCTTGATTTTAACTTCTTCTCGCAAGGCTCATTATACTTGTTGAAATCTGTGAGATGGTTTACACCAAGTCTGTCTAAACCACAGCCTGTGGGCAGAGATAGAGCAGCCTGGGATAGCTTTCAATGCTGCCCAACACAAATTCATAAACTTTCTTAAAACGTCATGAAACCTTTAGCTCATCAGCTATCATTAGTGTTAGTGTATCTTATATGTGACCCAAGACAATTCTTCTTCTTCCAGGGTGGCCCAGGGAAGCGAAAAGATTAGACGTCCTTGGAAACTTTAGACATATCAGGAACCATATAGCTTTTCAAAATCACATATCTACACTTTTGCTAAGTTCTATGCTATGCAAATGACTGAAACTATACAAGGACTTACCTTGTAAGCTTGGAAGTGACATATTGGGCATTTGTGATTAAATTCTGAGACTATTCATTTAAAAATTGATATCAGCTCCTGGAATGTAACTTTTCGTTTTTTTTTTTTTTTTCTTTTTTTAGATTTTTTGAGATAAAGTCTCACTCTGTTTGTCGCCCAGGCTGGAATGCAGTGGTGCAATCTTGGCTCACTGCAGACTTTGCCTCCCGGGTTCAAGCAATTCCCCAGCCTCAGCTTCTCAGTAGCTGGGACTATAGGCATGTGCCACCATGCCCATCTAACTTTTTTGTGTATTTTTAGTAGAAACAGGGTTTCATGTTGTTGGCCAGGCTAGTCTTGAACTCCTGATCTCAAGTCAAACTACCCACCTCAACCTCTCAAAGTGCTGGGATTACAGGCATGAGCCACTGTACCCGGATTCTTTTTCTTATTTCTCCATCACTTAAAGATAGAGGAATGAGAAAGGCCCGTTTCTTTTACATAGTAGTTGGACAAGATCTTAAGTACAGATCTCTAGTAGTTAAAACAAAACACAACCAATCTCTCTCATCCTCTAGATACTTGGCTTTCGCCTAAATGTGATTCATAAAGCTGAAGTGTTGCTAATCTTTAAATAATACCCAAGGGATATGATTACCCAACACACTAATACAATTTAAGAGTAGAGTGATCCAAAGAAGAAAATAATGTCTTCAAAAATGTTGCTATTAGAAATATTTCTTTTCTCTAAGGGAGGATGCAGGCTAAAGCATTTTGCGTGTGTGTTTACTTTTATAAATTTTCAAAGTGAGGAAGGCAGGAAAGTAGATATCTTCCCCCCTCCCCCCCCCCACACACACACAGAGTTTCACTCTTGTTGTCTAGGCTGGAGTGCAGTGGTGCAATCTCAGTTTACCGCAGCCTCTACCTCACAGGTTCAAGCAATTCTCCTGCCTCAGCCTCCTGAGTAGCAGGAATTACAGGTATGCGCCACCACAACCGGCTAACTTTGTGTTTTTATTAGACAGGCGGTTTCACCATGTTGGTCAGGCTGGTCTCAAACTCCTGACCTTGGATGATCTGGCTGCCTTAGTCTCCCAAAGTGCGGGGATTATAGGAGTGAGCTACCGCGCCCAGCCAGTTCTATCACTTCTATGACAGAGAATTTTTAAATTATCAAAGAAGCCTGATATTTCATGTAACACTTTGCCCAGCCTTACCCCATGAGTATTTTCATCTGCTGTCTCACACTTTGCATCCACACGTGAAAATGCTTCTGCTTTTTATGGATTGTACGGTAAAGGTTTTAGATCCTTCTAGGCCAGGCTCCTGCTAACAACCCCAGCACTTTGGGAGGCCGAGGTGGGTGGATCAGTGAGACCAGGAGTTTGAGACCAGCCTGGCCAACATGGTGAAACCCAGTCTCTACTAAAAATACAGACATTAGCTGAGAGTGTTGGCAGGTGCCTGTGATCCGAGCTTCTCAGGAGACTGAGGCACAAGAATCACTTGAACGCAGGAGGTGGAGGTTGCAGTGAGCTGAGATCGTGCCACTGTACTACAGCCTGAGTGACAGAGACTCTGTCTCAAAAAAAAAAAAAAGATTTTAGATCCTTCTAATAAGATGAAGCCCACTGTGTCAAAAAATCTAGGCTAGGCATAGTGGCTCATGCTTGTAATCCCAGCACTTTGGGAGGCTGAGGCAGGTGGATCATGAGGTCAGGAGTTCAAGACCAGCCTGACCAATATGGTGTAACCCCCGTCTCTACTAAAAATGCAAGAATTAGCCAGGCGTGATGGCATTCACCTGTAATCCCAGCTACTCAAGAGGCTGAGGCAGGAGAATCACTTGAACTGGAAAGGTGGAGGTTGTAGTGAGCTGAGATCGGGCCGCTGCACTCCAGCCTGGGCAACAGAGTAAGACTCCATCTCAGAAAAAAAAAAAATCTAAAGGTTAGGATACGAAGTCATTCTGACAGATTACACTGTGGACTATATATCCCTGTTCCTTTCTTCTGAGCCTTATTTTCATGTTAATAGTTTAAGCTACATACTACATGTCAAGAACTTTATATACCATATCATATTTCATTATTTACAAAATTTTAGGTGGTTATTACCCACATTAATTAACAGGCCCAACATCGCAATTTCTAGCAAGAGGAAGAGACATGATTTTAACACAAGTCTGATTCTGGCCTAATCTGCAGTCTACGTTGCATCCACATTAAATATTTTATTTTATTTTTTTCCTTTTTGAGACAGAGTTTTGCTCTTGTTACCCAGACTGGAGTGCAATGGCGCGATCTTGGCTCACTGCAACCTCCGCCTCCTGGGTTCAGGCAATTCTCCTGCCTCAGCCTCCTGAGTAGCTGGGATTACAGGCACACGCCACCATGCCCAGCTAATTTTTTTGTATTTTTATGTGCTATATTACATTTTTTCAATCCATTTATCCCAGGTTAATAGCTTAGATGGTCATTTCTTTTTCTTTCTTTCTTTCTTTTTTTTGATATGGAGACTCACTATGTCACCCAGGCTGGAGTGCAGTAATGTGATCTTGGCTCACTGCAACCTCCACCTCCCAGGTTCAAGTGACTCTCCTGCCTCAGCCTCCTGAGTAGCTGGGACTACAGGTGTGCACCACCATGCCCAGATAATTATTGTATTTTTGGTAGAGATGGGGTTTTACCATGTTGACCAGGCTGGTCCTGAACTCCTGACCTCAGGTGATTCACCTGTCTCAGCCTTCCAAAGTGTTGGGATTACAGGCGTGAGCCACTGCGCCCAGCAGATGGCTGTTTCTCTACTTGTGAAGCAGGCCTGGTGAAGGGCCCCAAGGCTGTGCCAGAGGTGAGCAGCCTGCAACTGTGCCCTGACATCCTAACTTCCTTGGTGAAAAATAAGACCATTATTCTGGCTGTTACAAGGAGCAATTGGTTGGAAATGACAGTATGCTGAAAGTCTTGTTTTCCCTCCAATTTTTTACAGGGAAGGCTGGGGGTGGCTCTCAGAGAGGACATTTTGGTGGCCTCATTCAGGAAGATGATGTGAGTGTCCTTGCTGCAGCTCTGCGAATTCAGGTTTGTTTGAATAGCTCTTTGAGAATTTGAGCTTGGAAGTTTGAGGAATAGTTGCTAATGTTTTGTGAGTGTTTTCTGTTTACCAGCTACAGTGTTAAACACTTCACACACAGTGTTAGGCTTATCTGATAAATGAAGAAATGGTGATTTTGCAAAATGAAGTGAGTTGCCTGTGATCACGTGGCATGTGTGGGGCAGGGACCCATATTGGGGACTGCATATATGTTGTCTTGGGCTACGAAGTAAATTATCCCAAAATTTAGCAGCTCAAACACCAAGGCATTTATTATCCCACATTTTCTGCAAGTAAGAGGTTTGGCAGTAGATTAACAGATTACGTGGTGTGTAAGTCGATTCTTGCATTGCTGTGAAGAAATACTAGCTACTCAGGAGGCTTAGGCAGGAGGATGGCTTGAACCCAGGACATGGAGTTTGCAATGAGCTGAGGTCAGACCAGTGCACTCCAGTCTGGGTGACAGAGGGAGACTCAAAAAGAAGAAGAAGGAGGAGGAGGTGGAGGAGAAGGAGAGGAGGAAGAGGAAGAGGAGGGGGAGGGGAAGGAAGAAGAAGAAGGAGGAGGAGGAGGAGGAGGAAGGAAGAAGGAAGAAGAAAGAAGGAAGAAGAAATACCTGAGACTGGTTAATTTAGAAAGAAAAGATGTTTTTCCCTTCTCGCTTTGTCAAACAGGCTGGAGTGCAGTGTTGTGATGTTGGCTCACTGCAACCTCTGCCTCTGGGTTCAAGTGATTCTCATGCCTCAGGCTCCCAAATACCTGGGATACAGGCATGTACCACCATGCCCGACTAATTTTTGTACTTTTAGTAGAGACAGGGTTCCACCATGTTGGCCGGTCTGGTCTCGAACTCCTGGCCTCATGTGATCTACTTGTCTCGGCCTCCCAAAGTGCTGGAATTACAGGCATGAGCCACCTGGCCTGGCTTACTGTCCTGCAGGCTGTGGAGGAAGCATAACACAGGCATCTGCTTCTGAAGAGGCTTCACCAAGCTTCCAATAATGGCAGACAGTGAAGGAAAAGCAGGCATCTCACAAGGCAGGAACAGGAGCAGAGAGTGAGGGGGTTGTGCTATATACCTTTTTTTTTTGCCCCCCACTCCTGGTGCTATATACTTTCAAATGACCAGATCTCAGGAGAACTCACTCATTGTCACCAGGATGCTACCAAGGGGGATGATATTAAACCATCATTAGAAACCAGCCCCTGTGATCTGATCACCTCCACCAGGCCCCACTCTAACACTGGGGATTACATTTCAAGATGAGATTTGGGCAAGGACATACATCCAAACTGTATCAGATGGTTTTGGCTCAGGATCTCTCATGAAGTTGAAATGAAGATGTCAGATGGGGCTGCAGTCATCTGAGGGCTTGACTAGTGCTGGAAGATGTGTTTCCAAGAGGGTGTACTCACATGGCTATGGGCATGTGTATTTCATTCCTCACTGGCCATCAGCAGGATGCCATAGTTCCTCATCATGTTGACCTCTCTGTACGGCTGCCCCTAGTGTGGCAGCTAACTTCCCCACTATGAGTGATCCGAGGGAGGGAACTAGGAGAAATCTACAGAATGGATGACCTAGGTGCTAAGATTATGTGCCACCACTTCCTTTTTTCCAGAGTGTTAGAAGTAAATCACTAAATCCAGTTCACACTCAAGAGACAGAGAATTCTGCTCTCTTCTTCAAGATAGGAGTATTGAAGTATTTGTAGACATTTTTTCAAACCACCACCACCTGTGTGATCTGAAGTCCAAGGTCATCAGTGTTCTACCATATAAGCTGAGTGTTCTCATGGTGCTGGAGCCTGTAGTTATGGTGGCCTCTGGCAGTGACATTTAGTTCATTTCTTTCTTATGTACAGGGTAATACACAATTAAAACTCTTTACCTAAAAATGGGTCATTATATATTGTAAGGATTATAAGTGATATTTCCATCAAAGCTAAATTTTATTTTTATTTATTTTTATTTCATTTACTTATCATTTATATGCATACATAGCACTACTCAGTAATTCAATTGCTTGCTCTTTTATACCAACTACAGAAGGATGGTATTTGGAAGCTGGGCATCCAAGATGATCATTCATGCAGTCTTGTATTTTCTTCATTTTTCTTTCCTAAATGGCATGAAGAACCCATCAGTATAAGTTTATCCATGTGCATGATGTCTTTTGTGAACGCTTAATCTAGCTTCATTTATTTATTTATTTATTTATTTTGAGACAGGGTCTCACTGTGCCACCCAGGCTGGAGTGCAGTGGCGCAATTTCAGCTCACTGCAGCCTCCGCCTCCAGGTTCAAGCAATTCTCCTGCTTCAACCTCCTAGGTAGCTGGGTTTACAGGCACATGCCACCACATCCGGCTAATTTTTGTATTTTTAATAGAGATAAGATTTCACCATGTTGGCCAGGCTGTCTCAAACTCCTGACTTCAAGGGATCTGCCTGTCTCAGCCTCCCAAACTGCTGTGATTACAGGCATGAGTCACCTTGCCTGGCCTATTTATTTATTTATTTTTAAAGAGACACAATCTCAGCTAGGCTGGTGTTCAGTGGTGTGATCATGGCTCACTGTAGCCTAAAAATTCTAGGCTCAAATAATCCACCTCAGCCTCCCCAGTAGCTGGGATTATAGGTGTATTTACACCTGTATTTTTTAATAGTGTATTTTCTCATATTTTCCTGTTTTTTTTTTTAATTTAACAAAAATAATAGACATGGTCAGAATCTGAAGGGAACCGTAGAATTAAGCTGAATCATCAAGTCCATGTATGCATATTTAAGAAACAAAGCAGTTTCTTTTAATACTGTCAAATTCTTCAGTACAGTATTAATAGTCATATATTCTAACTAGCCATGCAGGTTTTCACCTTTTCCTTTTTAGGGAAAACCTACAACCCAATTGAATAAAAATATTCCTAACATCCCCTCGACTTATTGTGCAATTTTATAATCTTGTTTCATAACATCCATAAACAATATTTCCATGGTTTAAGTGCGTGCCCTGTCAGTGCTTACCATTCTAACATATGTTTTCCTCTCCGTCCTTGCTGAAGAATATGGTCAGTAGTGGAAGGAGATGGCTTCGTGAACAGCAGCACAGGCGGTGGAGACTTCCCTGCCTGAAACTTCAGCCTCTGTGCCCTGTGCCAAGGTAACACTGGTAATTTATTTACACTAATGTCAGTTCAGCACAGTGAATTCCATCCAGTTAGTCATGGGGAGAAGCACAACTCATGGTTCTGTGGTTTTGATGGTAGGTAATTTTCTCTATTCATGAAATTGCCATCCTATTTTCTCTATTGTAACTTCTCCAAAATTAACTCATAATGAATGTATTACTGACTGTGTTCTGTCACTTCCAAAAAGGCATAATTTTTCATTTAATTTCAGTGATGTTTTCTACATTATATGGCAGTATTTTTTCTTTTTCTTTTTTTTTTGTTCTGAGATGGAATCTTTTTCTGTTGCCCAGAATGGAGTGCAATAGCATGATCTCAGCTCACTGCCATCTCCCAGGTTCAAGCAATTCTCCTGCCTCAGCCTCCCGAGTAGCTGGGATTACAGGTGCATGTAACCATGCCCAGCTAATTTTTGTATTTTTAGTAGATATGGGACTTTTGGCATCTTGGTCAGGCTGGTCTTGAACTCCTGACCTCAGGTGATCTGCGCACCTCGGCCTCCCAAAGTCATCAGTCACTGCACCCAGCCTAGCCGTGTTTTTTCTTCTTAGTCATCCATAAAGTAATGGCTTTAAATGTGACAAAATATGGTAATATTTGGAATGTGCTTTTCAGTGTCAGAAATGCCCAGCACATATATATCCACTTGGTCTTAAGGACCATGTAGGTTTCTACTCTGGGGATAAATGACCACTCAAACAAAACATCATTCCACGTGGGAACTGAGCTCAGCTTTCTTCAGAACGATCTGATAGGATAGTCTGTGTTCGTCAAGGTGGGTATTTTACTCATAGTGCTCTTTGATGAGGTCTAAGCTACATATTCTAGCTATAAGTTTGGAAATATAAACATAGTGTCAGCATGTGGTTTAGAATGATTGGGTAGGGATGACATCGGAGCCAGAGAGCCGCCTTTTCCAGCCTGATGCTGAGTCATCTGTGTCTGCCCCACTCCATGGAATTGGCCCCACCCTCATTATCCAGGTATGCATGATGCCAAGTGTGCATCCCCAGGTAATCTCATCCAGCAACGTTGGAATGCACAGAGTGCTGAGGAGATAAATTTCCTCTAGTAAGTGACTCTTTTTTTTTTTTCTTTATTTGAGACAGAGTGTTGCTCTGTCATCCATGCTGGAGTGAAGTGGCTTACTGCAACCTCCACATCCCAGGTTCAAGCAATTCTCCTCTCTCAGCCTCCTGAGTAGCTAGGACTACAGGCACACACCACCACACCCGGCTAATTTTTGTATTTTTAATAGAGATGGGGTTTCACCATATTGGTCAGGTTAGTTCAAACTCCTGACCTCAGGTATTCCATCCACCTTGGCCTCCCAAAGTGCTGGGATTACAGGCATGAGCCACTGCGTCGGGCCGACTCATTTTTTACCTGATAACCAGGTGCTTTATAGAATTGAACTCCATTTCCTTTGGCAGCCAGACAAGCACCCTGGTTCGATTCTACCCACCAGGAGGGTGTGACTCTCCAGGCCACGTTTTCATCCCTGCAATGGACGCAACATCTCAATTAATGAATGCTCTCTGTTTATTAATTACGCAAGTTGCAATGAGGAATGCTATTCTTTGTAATATCATCCCTGGACTTGTGCAATCTCTTTCATTAAATATCTTATTTTAGAGTTATTTATGTTGTTATGAGACCTTAGATTTTAAAAGTAAATGAATAATTTCTACTTAAAAAGAGCTAAAAAAGATTAAAATAGATTCCACCAAATTGTGTACCAAAGTTTTGATGTAAATTCTTCTTGTTTAACCAACAATTCTTTAAATAATTAAAGCCTGTTCTCCCCCAAGAAGAATTTACATTGAAACTTTGAAACCATTGATTTCTAGACCCACTGGGCAAAGAGAAGCAGGTCAAGTAGTTTATAAATCACCCAAAAAATCATGACAGTATCACCCAGACTTTTTAGCTAGTAAAGAGAAAACTTTACAGGTCTTTGTTTTGTTTTGTGACAGAGCCTTCCTCTGTTGCCCAGGCTGGAGTGCAGTGGCTCGATCCCTGCTCACTGTAACCTCCGCCTCCTGGGTTCAAGTGAGGACATCTGGCTAATTTTTGTATTTTTAATAGAGACAGGGATTCACCATGTTTGCCAGGCTGGTATTGAACTGTGGACCTCAAGTGATCAGCCCTCCTTGTGCCCCCAAAGTGCTGAGCGTACAGGCTTGAGCCACCATACCTGGCCTGTATTGTTTTTGTTTGTTTGCTTTTTGAGACAGAGTCTTGCTCTGCCATTCAGGCTGGTGTGCAGGGGTGCGATCTCAGCTCACCTCGATCTCAGCTCACCTCAACCTCCGCCTCCCAGGTTCAAGTGATTTTCCTGTGTTGGCCTCCCAAGTAGCTGGGACTACAGGTGTTCACCACCACACCTGGCTAATTTATTTGTATTTTTAGTAGAGATGGGGTTTTGCTATGTTGGTCAGGCTGATCTCAGTCTCCTGGACTCAAGTGATCCTCCTGCCCTGGTCTCCCAAAGTGGTGAGATTACAGGCATGAGCCACTCCATCCTGCTAAAAGCTTACACATTATCCAAGATTAAGCTCTTCAATTTAGGAGATTGTGGGAAGAGAGAGACAGAAAAAAGTTATAGTCAGGAAGGTAAAACAGCGTAGGAGTCTAGAAAGGAAAGGTTGGATGGGTGGAGGCCTGGAAGGGAGTACTCAGCAGGCCTTAGGCGGATTATCTGAACTCCCAGCTTCTCTGCTGCCCTTTGGAGAAGTCTGGATAGAGGTGTGTTTGCTTTTGCCTCTTACCCCCAGGTTAGACCCCCACAAGATCCTGGAGGAGAGTCTAGGATGGTCTCAACACTGTGGGTAAATTGTTCGCAGTAGCTACAGAAACATCAGGGCCAAGGGGCTGACTAAAGTCCGATGAGGGGGTCATCTGCCCACTGCAAGGAGGCAGATCACAACACAAATAAGTATTCCAGGGTAAGTCAAGGAATAGCTGTCATCTCCGATGCCACATTTAAGAGCAGTTCACTGCTGCCTGCTCTTCCTGGGTTAGTTTTGCTGCTGGGGGAACAGGTATGCCTTCCATCTCTCACTCACACACAGTCAGACACATGAATGGCCTGACTCACCAGCAAAGAAATGACTGAGCACATGAGCCCCAGAGGGGTTCTCCCTGAAGAGTCCAGCACTGCACATGCTGGTATCCAGACCACTCCTGTAAGATGAGCAAGGGTGGCCAGTAAAATAGAGGAGTTCAGTTACTGCCCAGTGACAGACACTCTGGAGCTTCTACAATTTCCTGTCTGAACTTGGACTCAGTTCACTAGGCCCTTCTACCAACAGTTATGTAATTAATTCAGTATTTTGAAATATGATTTTAGACTGTAAATAGAAAAGAGAGGGGGAAGCGTGGACTCAGATGAAATAGCATTTCCACATTTTTCCTTTTTTTTTGTACTTAATCTCCAGTGTGATAATAATGTCCACATTTTTGAAAAGCCAAGAGAAACATGTGGCTAGCCCAACAGGAGATGGTTATTCGATGGCCCTCTATTCATGGCTAATGAATACCGTGAAGGCCCACAGAGAGCATTTTGCCCTGCAGTGGAATTGCACTTGCAGGAGGCCTTTGGACACATTATCATATAAAATTCTTCTCTGAATGGCATAGGTGTTATGCTTCCACCTGGACACAATTCTAGGATCTTTGTAAACTTTTTGGAGTTGCGTTTCTAAAATGATGCACCATTTTCTCATACACATTAATCGTTAGCAGTTGTGCTTTATTACTGCCTGGGAGAAGGGACCCCAAAGCAATTGCATTGATTTCATTGTTGGCGGGATGTGTGGCTGTTTTCACTCCAGTTGCGACCACCTAAGCTGAGACGCCTCTTGCCTCTTTTATGTTGTCTTTCCCCTCAGTGACATTGAGATTTCAAGAGCACAGACTCCAAAAGCTGTGGATGTCCTTGCCAAGGAGATTGGATTGCTTTCAGATGAAATTGAAATCTATGGCAAAAGCAAAGCCAAAGTCCGTTTGTCTGTGCTGGAGAGGTTGAAGGACCAAGCAGATGGGAAATACGTCTTAGTTGCTGGGTAAGAGGCCGTCTGACATCTACTTTACCAAGCAGACGTATCTATGAAACGCTTCCCCATGTATCTCTGTCCTCAGGCCCCTCAGTCCATCCTCTTCTCACATTTGACGTTTTGTCCATTTCATTTGGCGTGAGATAAGTTTTCATTTTCTGTGCAGAGAAAATTAGTCAGCTCTACAAAATATAAAGTCGAGTTGCAGTGCTTCGTCTTTGTTTCTCATACTGTGTTGTTATTTCCCCTGCTCCTCCTTGGCTTTTTAAATTTCATTATAAAAAATCAAATTGTGAATCGAAAGTAAAATATTTTGAATGGTGCAGTTTGTTTTGTGCATTCTGCTTAGAAATAATATTTTAATGGAGAAGGTACAGATAATCGTGGGAAACATGTTTCCTGTTAATATCCTTGATCTTGTTTATATATTCACATGACAAAAACCCATTATTTCCCTTTTCCTGCATTTCAAAATTAATGTTGGGCCATTTTCACTTGTGTTGGTTATTTTATAAAAGATACATTTGTAGTTTTTGTGAAAAGGACTGTTTGCCTTTTTTGTCTTCTTTTTTAAAAAGAAATACTTTCACTAGCTGAAAGGATGATAGAAAGCAAGGGATTTCAAATATTTATTTAATGTGACCCTAGGGAACATCATGGGACCATATAAATTCCTTTGTTGCCTTGAAATTTTATTGCAGTGACTTGCTTATGATGTATCGGCTAAGGCTTCAGGCACCAAAACCTATTTGTAAGGCAGAGACATTTCTAGTAACTGGACCTGACTCCTACTTAGCCTTGTTTTTACATATTTAATTATCAATGTAAGTGCTTTTTTCTTTATTTCTTTTTCTGGTTATAATAACAATGTAGTTTCATTTTAGAAATATTCTAAAAATTCAGAAAACAGAAGTAAAAAAGTAAAACATCCCAAACCCTAGCACCCAGAGGAAACAACTGTTGACCTCTGAGGGCTGTTTTGACACTGATGGTCTCGCATCCATGAGATCACACTAGGCATGCTACTCTATAAGCAGCCTGGTTATTCAACCATATATGGTGTACTGAACTCCATGTGAGTGAGTATAAAGCAATGTTACCATTTTTCATGACAACATAACATTCCATCACTCACATCCCAGATTCTTTTTTTTTTTTTTTTGAGACAGAATCTCATTCTGTTGCCAAGGCTGGAGTGCAGTGGCACAGTCTCAGCTTACTGTAACCTCTCCCTCCCGGATTCAAGTGATTCTCCTGCCTCAGCCTCCTGAGTAGCTAGGATTACAGACTCCCACCACAACACCTAGCTAAGTTTTATATTTTTACTAGATACGGGATTTCAGCATGTTGGCCAAGCTGGTCTTGAACTCCTGACCTCAAGTGATCCGCCCCTCTTAGCCTCCCAAAGTGCTGGGATTACAGGAGTGAACCACTGCTTCCAGCTACATCCCAGATTCTTAAATGTGTTGGGGAAGCAGGGGCTGGGAGAGTAGCAAAAATGCCCAGGGTAAGGGTGGAGATCCCATCTTACACATCTTCTGGCACCTCTAGTTCCATCGACAAGTGGTACCCTGGCCCAGCCACTGATAATGCTGAGTGTTTCTAATTGTTCAAATGCATTGATGCAGAAAAATAATTTGAACATAGAATAGGGATGTTCCACAACTTATTTGACCAATTTTCTGTTGATGGGCAATTGAAGGGTTCCCAATTTTTGCCATTGGAAACTGCTAGAATTCACAACCCTGGGCATGTGGATTTGTGTGTCTCTTCCATTATCTCCTAAGGAAAAATCTCCAGAGGTGAGTTCAATTATTTATAACTGTAAATAAAGCAAAAATATCATCCAAAACAATATCACCTCTTTAATGATATAGTGATTTCTTCATATCCCCTTCCCACTTTCCTCTTCTCTTCTTCTCTTTGTTTAGGTATTCTTTTTTTTTTTTTTTTTTTTTTTTTGAGACGATGTAGCCCACGCTGGAGTACACTGGTGCGATCTCGGCTCTCGGCACACTGCAACCTCTGCACCCCTCCCACCCCCAGGTTCAAGCAATTCTCCTGCCTCAGCTTCCCAAGTAGCTGAGATTCCAGGCATGCACCACCATGCCTGGATAAGTTTTTTCCTGTTTTTTTAGAGAGGGGTTTTCACTACGTTGGCCAGGCTCGCCTTCCATCTCCTGGCCTCTAGTGGTCCACCCCCCTCATCCACCCAAAGTGCTGGGATTAGAGGTGTGAGCCACTGTGCCCAGCCTCTGCAGGTTTTTTGTAAGAGGGACAGATAGCCAGGGCTTCTCAGAATCCCTGAGCAGCTGGTGTTATAAGGAATTCATTTTTGCTGCACACCTCACTCAGTTGTCTGTGGCTTAACCCTTCTCCCTCAGGCTTCCAGGCTCACTGCAGTTAGATTCCTGAGTCCCTTTCCAATCTAGAGCCCCAAACTTAATGTCCGCATAACTGAGTGCGGGAAAGTTCCTTGCTGATGGGAGGGGGTTGGCTCCACCTGCAGTCATCCCCTGTGGGCCTAAAACTCTGCAAGGAGCTACCTCTGGTTAGATTGGCTCTGGGATCTCAAAGTTTGGGACACAGTTTAGTCAGGGTAGCTTTTTTTTTTTGCTTTTGAGACGGAGTTTCACTCTTGTTGCCCAGGCTGGAGGGCAATGGTGCGATCTTGGCTTGCCACAACCTCCGCCTCCCAACCTCAGGTGATCTGCCCATCTTGGCCTCCCAGCATGCTAAGATTACAGGCATGAGCCACCGTGCCCGGCCCAGGGTTGCTTTTATGGCAGTATGCTTGATGCATGTTTGTTTGCAATGAATAAACAAACTCTTCGCCATTAAGACCTTTAAAAAGCATTTGATTTATGGAATTGGTTCCCTTCTTCCAGGCTTCATGTGATCTTGGTAGGTGGGTTTGCAGGTTTTCTCAACCTGTTTAGATAGGAACACTTGAGGAAAACTGAGTAGAATGTGTTGTCTGTTTATGAAGGAAGAATCATGCAGCAGATTTTCTTATCCAGGGCCTCTGCTTTACTCTATTTTGGGCTTGTCCATCAAATCAGAAATCCAGACACGGATGGCCCTGTCCTTAGCTAGGAACACAAAACTGATACTTCTCAAACAAAGCTATGATGTACTGTTGTCAGGTTGCTTACTTCTCATCTAAGCTGAGCCTCCAGCCTCATGCTGGAGAATGCTAGCTGGCATGGCTCTCCAGGGTTACAGCCAATGTGTCCATGGCCAGTAGAATATTTCTCCACGTTGGCTCTTTGCTGGCATTAACATGTATAATCGAGCTGAAGTTGGCCTGCCATGTTGGAAATAGAAAAGAGATAAAACATGAATTTTCAAGATCAGATTAAACACCAAGAGATCAATAATTCTTTTTCTGAAATTGCGATATATATTCCTTTACCTAACAAAGACCTTTGAAGGAACAAAAATTAAATGGCCTGTCTCTATTTTAAAAACTAAATCAGAAAAAAAAACACCATGCAGGTAAGATTATGATATACATATGCATTTGTGGCAGAGCTTGAAGATTTTTAGGAAATAGCCACACTGGCCTTTTCCCTTACACTGGATTGTGTAAGGGAAGAATGAACATTTATTGTGTTCTCTCCAACACAATAAATGGTATACTTTTTAGGGCTGTAAACTATCATTAATATCAAATTCTTTAAATGCTGAATGATTGAGATCAATTTAGGCCACAGGCAAATATTTTATCTATAGTCTAAAGTGGGCCTGGCATGGTGGCTTGTGCTTATAATCCAGTTACTCAGGAGGCTGAGGTGGGTGGAACACTTGAGGGCAAGAGTTCAAGACCAGCCTGAGTAACATAGCAAGACCCATCTTTAAAAAATACGAGTAGCTAAAAGCAGCACTGGTTTAAAGCAGCATTTCTAATATAATGTGAAAAGGCAATTTGAAATGAAAATCACCTTCACGTTTCTTCATTTGACCAGGTCAAGAGTTAGGGGGAAATGATGTTATCAAAGGATTATATGCACTGTTACAGCTTCTTTCAAAATATAAATGATCCCTCCATTAAATGGAGAATTATTTCCTTTTTCTGAAAGTCTTTTTTTAATTCTGAAAATAATATTAGCTTATTGTAAAAAATTTAATATAAAGAAAAGTAAAAAAAAAAGGAGATAGCTACATCTCTTATAACTCTAGATTTTATTTATACATTCATCCTTTGTACATATTGAGATCATGCAATAATTCTATTTTTGTCCTACCCTTTTCTCTAAAACTATAACATAAATATTTTTCCATGGTTTAGAAGAATTCAAATACCCAAAAAAATTTTAAATAAAACTAAATAACAATATACGTGTTATTATATATTCGAATTTATGTAGAAATGTGATTTAAATATATCAGCAATGGGATTAAAATATAAAACAATGAGATTAAAAAAAAATCTTCTATTAATAACCCAAATGCAGAACAGATTAATTCGTTTAAGAAGCCGTTCTTCAAACTTTAGGATTTCTTACTCAGTCAGAATCATCTGCATTTCATCAAGTACACATCAGATGGTATTTACACCTACACATCACTTTATTTGCTTTGCCTGACAAAAGGAAAAGTATTGGGAATTGTTCAGGGAAATATGCCAAAAGAATCTTAGAGACTCTTGAGTTTTACATATTTTCCCCGTTACACTAATGAAAAGGAATTTTGTTTGAGAACTTGACTTGGAGTGCAGATGCGGGGCATTTGAATCTCAGTTTCCATCAGGCCTGTACCCATTTCTGTGCAGAAGTTTCTAGAATTTCCCTGAATTGGTTGGACAGAGCAGCTAAAAAAAGCAGCCCAATCTGATCTGGGAATGGACTGATTTCACATTTTAAAAAAAATTAAAATCATTCACATTACTTTATCTTGTTTCTTTCTTTTTTTCTTTTTCTTTTTTTTTTCTGCAGAGGGCCAAATACCTGACTGGATTTTTACAAAAATGTTTCAACCCATTATTTTGGTACAGTGTAAAAATAATCTTTACTGGATTTTCTAAGGTTTTGCTTTTCTACCTTGAGTAACTGTCTGTGAGATTTTCTTTTATTTGCACAGCTTGGAGAATAAAACATAAGTATTTAGAAGAAAGTACCTACCATGGGGCCTTTGAAATGTTTACCTAAATCAAGTGTAATGAGAAACATCACCAAATGCACTGTGGAGTTTATCGTTAGATCAAAATCCTCCTAGAGACTGTGCGTGGTAGCTCACGCCTATAATCCCAGCACTTCGGGAGGCCGAGGTGGGCGGATCACGAGGTCAAGAGATCGAGACCATCCTGGTCAACATGGTGAAACCCCGTCTCTACTAAAAATACAAAAACTAGCTGGGCATGGTGGCACATGCCTGTAATCCCAGCTACTCGGGAGGCTGAGACAGGAGAATTGCTTGAACCCAGGAGGTGGAAGTTGCGGTGAGCCGAGATCGCGTCATTGCACTCCAGCCTGGGTAACAAGAGCGAAACTCCATCTCAAAAAAAAAAAAATCCCTCCCAGACCCTAAAGATGCCTGGGATGGATGATTTCTGTTCATATGCTACTTGAGCATGTAGTTTTGGGTGCATGGTTAGGCCCATGGCAAATGGCAGTGGTACCATTCAACAAGATTCTGGGTCTTGAGAATAGTTCAAAGTTTTATCACTTCTCTCTGTATAAGCCATCTTTTTGACCTTTGAGTAAATTATAAACTACTTTCCAGATTATGTCCAAATGGTCACGGGTACTTTGACAATTTTTACTGTAGCTGCCAATAAATAATACTCATCTTAAAAAAGATGTTATTCTGGCTGGGCATGGTGGCTCCCACCTGTAATCCCAGCACTTTGGGAGGCCGAGGCAGGTGGATCATTGAGGTCAGGAGTTCAAGACCAGCCTGACCAACATGGTGAAACTCCGTTTCTACTAAAAATATAAAAATTAGCCGGACATGGTATCGGGCACCTGTAATCCCAGCTTCTTGGGAGGGTGAGGCAGGAGAATTGCTTGAGCCTGGGAGGCGGGGGTTGCAGTGAGTAGAGATTCTACCACTACACTCCAGCTTGGATGACAGAGCGAAACTCCTTCTCAAAAAAAAAAAGAAAAGAAAAAGGCATCATTCCATTGTCAATTCTCTTTTGCTGGTCTGTGCTCCGAACTGGTGATAGGGGTGCAAAGAGAGTGAGCATAGTCCTTTACCTCAGCAAGTATGTGGCCTGGTAGGCAAGAGAGGCACGTCAGAACGCTTATCATTCAAATTAAATTAACCATCTGAAAAGTTCTAGAATAATTACGTAGTCAATGCTCTAGAAATCAGGAAGGGAGCACAGAAACCTACTGGGAGAAGAGGGGGAAGGTAATGAACAAAAATCACAGTTCCATCTCTAAGCTCCCAAAGAAAAAGAAATTGGATTACCTTGGTGCTCAATCGTTTCTTAAACAGCATTGATGATTTGGATTCTGAGCTTATGATACTGAGGGAAAAAAAAAAAATTTGATACTAAATGCAGGAAGGAGGTGAAATAAAATTTTTATCGTAGCTCTCCTTTTATTGCTCCCAATAAATACTTCCTACTTTGTGATTTTCCTGAATTGTATTAGTTGGCCGAAAGCTGAGCAGTCCTGTGTTTTTAATTAAGAATTGGATGGCTAGACAGAGTTTTGAGGAGGTCATCTCTGGGCGTGTCCGCTTTTGGCTTTCTCCGGCAACTATGCTAGCATATCCTTGGGAATGAAAATGCAATCCTTCATGTGACACAGTTTAAGTAAACCACTTAGTCCTCTGCAAATACCAAATGCTCAGTACGGTACTTAAACGGCACTGTGTTTGATGCCACAGTTTCTTTACAGGCTCTTCTAAGACTGTGATGCCTGTGGGCTTTTAGCTGCCCCTATTGATGTTGTATCCAAGAAAACAAAGTTGACTCCACGTGGAAGTATTAACATCTTTGTATAACTTTTCGGTCTTCGCCTTGACCCCACTCCAAATCTGCTATTTAGACAGATGCAGAAGTGACTGATAAGCCAGGGTCTTGTGGCTTCAGGAGTCTGAGGTTTCTTCCATGCAGTGGTGTCGGGATAGGCTCACCAGTTCTGGCCACAGCGGGTACCAGCGACCTCCTTGTTGCCGAATCCACCGACCACTGGGTCCTCATCCTGCTTCCTGCTTCAGTGCATTTGACTTTCCTGTTCTGGAATCAGTCTCATCCTTGGCCTTCCTTCTTCTCCAGGGTTCTCTTATTTTTTATTTATTTTTTATATCTTTAGAGACAGGGTCTCACTATATTGTCCAGGCTGGTCTCGAAGTCCTTGGCTCAAGCAACCCTCCTACCTTAGCCTCCCAAAGTGCTAGGATTCCAAGGATGAACCACTGCACACAGCCAGGTTCTCTTATTTTCTAGTACATCTTCCTAGTTTCCTTTTGGACTCTCTTCTTCTGACTCCTTGTTAAAAGAAAATGTACATCGCTCTTCTGTCCTTACCCCTTTTCTCACTCAGTGCACTGTCCTTGGGTGATCGTACCCATTCTATGCTTTAAATGGCTAATTAGAGTTATGATTTCCATCCATGGAGAACCTGGTTAAGTTAGATGACTGGCTTTGCCTCCCAGCTCTACTGCTTAGCAGTTGTGTGACTGTGGGCAAGTTGCTTAAACTCTGTGCCTCAGTTTCCTCATTTATCAAATAAGGGCACAAAAATAAGTAACCCCATAAATACGAAGCATAGCACCTCTCCTGTCAACTGCCCCAGTCCATTCTCAGTTTTATCTGGTTAATGTTTATTCATTTGTCAGGTCTCACCTAAGATGTTACTTCCTCCAGGAAACATTCCCAGATGTTCAAATCTAGTTAGATCCTTTTTCCACGTCCCTTCATAATTCAGTGTGATTGCCATATTTTCCTGTCTTAGTCTTGGTCACATTTCTCGAAATTGCTGATGTATTCAGATCAGCTAGAAGCTGGTGAGGGTAGAATGGAGTCTGGCTGGATCATCATTGTGCCCCCAGAGTCTAGCGTAGTGCCTGGCTCTAGCAGTGCTTGATGAATATCTGCTGAATGAATGACTCATGGAATTGCAGGGTACGATGATGCCTCTAAAGACATTCCTTCTTTCTGATCACATCCCTAGGTTTTGTAGGTCACAACTATTGGATTTGTTATGGTTGAGTATCCCTGACAACGTGGCTCACAGTAACTCATGGAAGACCAAATCGTAAACTCAAATGACAGCCTTTAAAGTTTTTAACGATGCTTATGATGTGCTAAAGACCGATTTTATGAGGCTATGCTTGCTAATGTAATAGGCTCTCTTCAGCACCCAGTACTGTGATGTTATGAACACGGGAACATTTGGTGTTAGAGTGTTGTCATCAGCAATAAGCCTCTCAAGAGCAGAAGTTTCCGCCGTAGGATACACCAGGGCTTTGGCTCTGAGTATTTGAAGGACTGTCATATGGAAAGGAATCAGGCTGAGTGTGTCGGATTCCAAGAGCTGGGACACAAAAAGAATGCAGATGCCTTCTCTTTAGAACAAAGAACTTTCTAATGGTAACAGCTGTCGAAATGAGTGGGCCACCCTGGAGGTCAAGACGTTATCACATCTGTGTTCAAGCATGGCAGGGAGAACTCCTGGGCAGGGATATCTGGGAAGAGAAGGGCAAGTGAGGGCTTTAGGGTCCCTTCTAATCCTGAGAGTCTGGCAGTGCCCTACTCACCCAAGGCCCTGTGCCCACACTGCCCCAATAAATGCCTCAGGAAGAACAAGTGCTACATATTCATCAGCAAGAAATGCCATCATCAGCTTAATAATTTAAGTCATTTGGATGAATGGTTTTATGGCCTTTCTTGAAATTGATGTTGTTATTAGCACTGCCCAATAATGTTTCCTTTTTTGGTCTCTTGGTAAAGGTGTGTCTGTATCTTGACTTTGGCTTATGCCTGTCCTGTGTGCTGTGTGTAGACTCTAATATAGCCTGAGAAAATTAAATTATGGAGTGCATTTTGGAATGAGCACCCTCACATTTGATTCTGGTGTCTTAGGCTGGCTTTGCCTAGGTTGTCTAGGAGATATTAAATTCAGCCTTTCCCCCCAAACTCAGGATCACGCCCACGCCTCTTGGAGAAGGGAAGAGCACAGTTACCATTGGGCTTGTGCAGGCTCTGACGGCACACCTGAATGTCAACTCCTTTGCCTGTCTGAGGCAGCCTTCCCAAGGACCCACGTTTGGAGTGAAAGGTACTGTTTTTAACAATTAGTGTTCTTTTCAGGGCAAAGTTGGGGGGAGAAAATTTTAAAAAGAACATCGTCAACAGATAAAGAGTTAAGACTTTTCAAGGGGACCTAGCACATTTATTTGCTGCACCCTTGGTACACGGGGGGTCACCCCATGTTGGGCCCTGGGCATGACGATGAGCAGTGGGGGCTGCCAGGGTTTCCCTGGACCCCTCAGGAGCCTATTCTTGAGGCTTCATTGCTCGAGGCTCCTGTCTCGAGTGCAGTCTCGCATGTTATCAGGGCCGTCTTTGCCAAGTGGTCTTGAAACACTGCCATCCATATCGGTGTTTGAGCAACCCAGTTCCGGGGAAAGGTCTTTCCCTCTGCTTTAGTCTTGGCTCACTGGAATTGCTGTGTGGGGCCGGCAGAGCTCTCAGGAGACGGGCTGGCTGTGGACAGCGAGTTGTGATGAAATTCCGCTCTGGCTGTGGTTGGGCTGATATCTGGCATCTTCCCATTCATTACTCCTTCTTCCATGATTTATCATGAAATCATTCCTTAGCTCACTTTACAATCCTGTTTATGGCTAAAATTACAGTTTGTTCTTGGCACTTTGTGGTTTTTTTTTCTTTAAACAATATTATATTTATATTACTCTTAACAAATATGAATAACTCATCTCATCAAGTACTGATAACTCATAGTGTGTCATGCATGACGTAGCAGAACGAACACTAGAGTAGGAGCCAGAAGGCCAAGGTTTTACTCACACCTGTGTTTCCTACCACGGTGTGACCCTGGGCAGCTTGAGCCAGTCACAGCCTCTTGGAGCCGCATCTCTAAAAGTGTAAACCGCTGAGAGCGGCACCAGGCTCACCCAGCTGTGAGGATCAAACGAGAAAGCACTTAAAGGAAAGGATACTGTCAATTGATACACACATGGGCGGTGTTGTTCCTGCTTTAAGAGAGAGTTCTTTTACTCCCATAACCAACATTTTGAGGGATAAGCAGCGTGACAAATCTCACACACTATTATCTGAAATCAATTGAAGTTTATAATTTACTTATCGGAGGTGGCTATGCGGCGGTTTTTTTTGTTCGTTTGTTTGTTTGTTTTGAGACAGAGTCTCGCTTGGTCACCCAGGCTGGAGTGCAGTGGCATAGTCTCAGCTCCCTCCAACCTCCGCCTCCCGGGTTCAAGTGATTTTCCAGCCTCAGCCTCCCAAGTAGCTGGGATTACAGGCACCTGCCACCACGCCCAGCTAATTTTCATAGTTTTAATAGAGATGGGGTTTCACCATGTTGGCCAGGCTGGTCTCGAACTCCTGACCTCAAGTGGTCTGCCCGCCTCAGCCTCTCTAAATGCTGGGATTACAGGCGTGAGCCACGTCACCCAGCCAGAGTGGATTTTTTTAAAACAAAGTTTTCTGAAACATGAAAGTGTGTACAATTGATTTAGATAAAGCATAGTCACAGAGACCTAATAATAAATTAACAAAATAATCTCATATCCTGGTAAGACAGCTGCTCTGTTATTTTTACCTTTTTTTAAAGAAAGGAAATGGAGATCTTTAAACTGCATAGTTAGACAAAGTATCAACTTTTTTTTTTCTGTCCCGCTTGGACATAACCATTAATGTCTCTCACTGCCTTTTGTTACTTCATCTTGAGTGTGACGTCTCTCTGTTGGGGTTGGGGAGCTGTGTCCATCATGGCAGGTGTACTTGGTGACCCGTTTGAAATGCCACTTGCTCTGTTGTTTAGGAGGAGCCGCCGGTGGTGGATATGCCCAGGTCATCCCCATGGAGGAGGTAAGACCTTGAAGAGGTGTGGGTCAGGTATCACTGTATTTCCTTCCTGACATCTGTCCTCTGCTCCCTCCACAGAGGCCCACAGACCCTCATCCACAGTCCCAAAGTCCTCAAGGCTCTGAAACCCCAAAATGTTTGCCTAGCTCATACAGTGGCACACCCTGGCATTTACTGTGGTGAGCTTTATATGGATTTTGTCTGTGCTACGTGGAGTGAATATTCATACATATTGCTGTAGAAAAATTAGTTTTGATTAACAGGTGCTGAGCAAGCCCCTGCTTGGGGTGTTTTATAAATAAACTACATGTAAATCACACTGCCTTTCTAAACTCCAAAAAATTCTGAATTCTGAAACCCTGCTGGTCTTGTGGGTCTGGATGAGAGAATGTGCGTCTGTGCCTCCCTCGGTCACCTGCTGTACTGCCAAGTTCACAAAGACCTGATGCTTCCCCCTGTCAGTTCAGGCTCCAGTGCGGCCCTTGGCAGCACAAATATTAAAACTGGAATGACACAGAGATTAGCGTGGTCCCTGCATGAAGACGACATGCAAATTTGTGAAGTGTCCCATTTAAAAAAAAAAAAAAAGGACTCCAAGATAAAAGAGTTCCAGAGGAAAGTGGGCCAAAATAACTGGTGTTGTTAATTCTTCCTTTTCTAAAACGCCCCTGTGTTCTGCATTACCTCTTCGTCGCCTGTAACTAGTGACCAGTTCACTTCTACTCTCTGCATCAGCCTCACCATTCAGGCCCTGGACAAGCTTCTGAAACACAAATCTGAGCAGGTCACATTCCTGTTCTGTGATTTCTGCTGTTACTTGTCACCCTTCAGTACAGCACAGGAGACCCCCATGGCTGGCTGCCCCTGCTCCCCTGTTTGCAGGTCCCCACCTGCCTTCTTTTCTCCCCTTGGAGATTCTTTTTTTTTTTTTTTTTTTAAGAGATGGGGTTTCCTCCATGTTGGCCAGGCTGGTCTTGAACTCCTGACCTCAGGTGATCCACCCACCTTAGCCTCCCAAAGTGCAGGAATTACAGGCATAAGCCACTGCACCCAGCCCCGCCCCCCCCTTTTTTTTTTTTTTTTTGAGACAGAGTTTTGCTTTGTTGCCCAGGCTGGAGTGCAGTGCCACAACCTTGGCTCACTGCAACCTCCGCCTCCTGGGTTCAAGCAATTCTCATGCCTTAGCCTCCTGAGTAGCTGGGATTACAGGCACCCACCACCACGCCCAACTAATTTTTGTATTTTTAGTAGACGCAGGGTTTCACCATGTTGGCTCAGGCAGTCCGCCACTCTCTGCCTCCCAAAGCGCTAGGATTACAGGCGTGAGCCACCGCGCCCGGCCCTTACAGCCTCTTTTCCTTTTCTCTCTTGGTTCCAGGATTTTCCCATGCCTGGAACATTCTTCCTTTTCTGTCCTCTTTACCCAGCTTAGGCCATTGCCAAGGTTCTGCGCTACCCTACAGATTCCCTCTTTGTTTATGGCTCTCTGGTTCAGTTGGCTGTGGCGAGTTGCAGGCCTTTCTTGAGGTCTCAGGTCCAAGCATTTAGCAGAGTGCCCAGCACATAGTAGGAACTTACTAGAAAGTATTTGTTGACTTTAGGCCAGGCATGGTGGCTTAAGCCTATAATCCCAGCACTTCGGTAGGCCAAGGCAGGCAGTGTATATCATGAGGTCAAGAGATCAAGACCATCCTGGCCAATATGATGAAACCCTGTCTCTACTAAAAATACATAAATTAGCAAGGCATGGTGGCACATACCTTTATTCCCAGCTACGTGGGAGGCGGAGGCAGAAGAATCGCTTGAATCCAGGAGGTGGAAGTTGCAGTGAGCCGAGATCGCACCACTGCACTCTAGCCTGGCGTCAGAGCACAACTCCGACTCAAAAATAAAAGGAAATATTTATTGATTTTGATAAAGGAATACAAGTGTTTACCCATGGAGGCCTGAGTACTGGGGAGGCTAAAAAGGAAATCTGTATAAACTTCAAGTGCTGGGAGTGGGGTGAGAAAGAGTAGTCCAAGGCACTGCTGAGGAAAATCGTGCCAGGCCTCAGGTCTGAATGGGGATGGCTACCATTCATGAGCTCTGAAGACCCAGAACTAGGAGGCCAGATTACAGATGGCGAATAAGGGACACATGCAGGGGAATGGCTCAGATTTAGCCAGCAAATTGGAAGGATGTTGGTATCCTGTTTTAGGGCATCAGCTGCGTGACTTGGAGGAGAGGGCTACCTTGTTTATTTTATTTCATTTTTTTGAGATGGAGTCTTACTCTGTTGCCCAGGCTGGAGTGCAATGGCGTGATCTCAGCTTGCTGCAACCTCCGCCTCCTGGATTCAAAGAATTCTCCTGCCTCAGCCTCCCAAGTAGCTGGGAGTACAAGTGCTAAGTACCATGCCCAGATAATTTTTGTATTTTTAGTAGAGTTGGGGTTTCACCATGTTGGTCAGGTCTTGTCTTGAACTCCTGACCTCAGGTGACCCACCCACCTCTGCCTCCCAAACTGCTGGGATTACAGGCATGAGCCACAGCATCCCACTGAGAGGACTACCTTATTATGGTTGAGTGGGCCAGACACAGGCAGTTTGTTCCTTGAAGCTGAATACCTACAGTCTCTTCTTCATCTGTATCCTCCCAGCTCTGAGCACCATGCCTGACACTGAATGGATGTTTGTTGACTAAGTGCCATGCACAGACAGTATGTACTGGACGAACGTGATAAATCACCATATGGGAAAATGTTAGAATAAATTCCAGATGGACTGAGGGATTGAAAGTGAAAATACTGTGACTGGAAGGATGGGAAGGAGCTGGCCTTGTGAAGAGTGAGGGAGAGCATTCAGCCAGTGGGAACTGCTGTGGGAAAGCCCTGAGGGAGGAAAGGGCTTGGCTTGTTCCGAGAACTGGAGGACACCAGGGTGGCTGGAGCCCTGTGGGCCGGCAGGAGTGGGGGTTGAGGTAGAGAAGTGTACAGGCGCCAGCTCTGTCGGACGATTGCGATTTGTAGCCAAGAACCTGGATTTTATTTGAAGTTCCAAGGTCAGCTATTGAAGGGATCTTGACAAATAACACGATGCAGACTGAGTTTCATTAAAATCACCCGGTCGTCTGTGTGATGAAGGGACTGGGGCACCTCAATAGACACGGTGGATCTAGGAAGAAGACTGTGGAAGTAGCCCAGGGAAAGATGGCAGTAGCTTGGCCCAGGATGGGGTCAGTGAGGATGGAAAAGAGCAGAAAACAACATAAGCTTTGTTCACTGATGTTTGCATGATCAGATGCTGGGGATGAGAAAAGGGGAGAATTCAAGGGCGACATCCAGGGGTACTGGCCTGAGCAACTCAGTAGACTCATTTGTTGAGGCAGAGATCAGGGGGATGATGGGTATGAGGTTTGAACTGTGTGGTGTGGGGCGTGGTGGAGTGTGGTAATAAGAAGGAGGGAGTCAGTTTAGAGGCCTGGGAAATATGCAGGTAGACATCAAGTAGACAGTTGGAAAGAAAAACCTACATTCCAGCTATAAAATGGACAAAGGGTTCAACAGAAATATAAAAAAAAAATTATTAGCTAAATGAATATTCACCTTCACTAACAAGCAGGTAAATAAATCTACATTAAAACCGCTATTGGCTGGGTGCGGTGGCTCATGCCTGTAATCTCAGCACTTTGGGAGGCCAAGGTGAGTGAATCACGATGTCAGGAGTTTGAGACCAGCCTGGCCAACATTGTGAAACCCCAGCTCTACTAAAAATAAAAAATATTACCTGGACATAGTGGCGCACACCTATAATCCCAGCTACTCAGGAGACTGAGGCAGGAGAATCACTTGAACCCGGGAGGCAGAGGGTGCAGTGAACCGAGATTACACTACTGCACTTTAGACCAGGCAACAGAGTAAGACTCCATCTCCAAACCAAATTGACAATTGTCAATTGTCAAATTGTCAAATTGACAGAATTGGATTCTTCAAAATAGTTATGATAGCAAATTTTGGGAAAGAGATTGAAATGGACTCCCACACACTGCTGGAAAGTGTACATGGAGGAAAACACATCTGGAAGAAGGGTAGAAATATGTATTAAGTGCTTCGCCATGCATATCCTTTGGCCGAATAAATTCATTTTTAGTGTACCCTAAGGAAAACATGAATATATGAGAAAATAGATAATTTTAAATTAAATATACCTTCACATAGTTTATAACATTAAAAAATGGGGAGATAATAATAGGATATGAAGTTAACTATATTTTGAAGACTACTGATGTAAAAACGTAGCTATATTGAGAGGGTAAGAGCTAAGCTATAAACTGTTCTGGTGTTATGATACCAGTATTTAAAAGTACACTTATATATTTATAAAATGTATATAATATGTAATTTTTCATGTTTCCTCCAGTGAACATATTTTTATATTATAAAGTAAAATTTTAACAAGAAAATATGAATATTTAACTTTCCAAAAAATAAGGAAATGCAGCTTCAAAAAGAATACCACTTTCTTAACTATTAAATTATTTCTTAGTCTAAAAGTTACTTTATTTCTGAAGTAACTGATTTACTACTAGTGTTTTGCAGGTGACACTTTATCCCTTTCAAAAAGCAATTTGGTGATATTATCAAGATCCCAAGGGTCGGGCTTGGTGGCTCACACCTGGAATCCCAACACTTTGGGAGGCTGAGGCAAGAGGATTGCTTCAGCCCAGGAGTGTGAGACCAACCTGGGCAACACAGCAAAATCCCATCTCCACAAAAAAATAACAGTAATTAAAAGAAAGAGAGCTCATTTAACCCAGTAACTACTCTCCTGAAAATATATTACTCATTAGCAATTAATTTTTTTTTAAAAAAGGAAAATCTGTTTGTGTGTATTCTTTATAACCATGGCCTTTCTTGTAAAAGTGAATATTTGGTAGTGTAAATATCCAGTCTGAATATTTTGGTACATCTACCATATGCAGCTTCTATAAACTATACACAAGATTATTATAGAAGAAGTTTTGTAAAACTAGACAGCCCACCAGAAGCTAATCCTACAAATGATAATCACGTGTGCTTATGAGACTGGAAGGAAAATAGCAGAATTAGTAGAGTCATAAGGGGTAAAATACTCTATTTCTTCAAAATTCTGTAAAATTTCATATTATTTTATTGTTACTATTTATTTTATGCCCTGCCTCATTCCAAAACATGTTTGATGTGATACTATTTTCTAGTATTATAGAAATAGGTACTAGTCATATCTAGTATTCTTATCAAAACAATGAATAAACATAAAGTGAGTGAATATAAGGAGACTCATTATTAAATGCATCAGAGTGTTTTGTCTTAACCTGAGGATGGAAGAATTTATGATCTGAGTGATTGCTCAAAGTTTCTTTGTTGTCACGTGGAAAACCTTGACCTTGATTTTCTCATTGAGGCCTCCCTATAGACAGCTCATTATAAGCATATGTAATTTACATGTTATTTTATTTATTCAATCCTTGAATTCCACCATAGTTGTTTAAAAAAATAGTCTCAGCTGGTACAGTGGCCAGGAGTTCATGACCAGCCTAGACAACATTGCAAGACCCCCTTCTCTACAGAAATTTGAAAATTAGCCAGGCACAGTGGCGTGCCTCTCTAGTCCCAGCCTACTCCGTAGGCTGAGGTGAGAGGATTGCTTGAGCCCAGTGAGCTATGATCATGCCACTGCACTCCAGCCTGGGAGACAAAGTGTGACCCTATTTCTGAAAATAAATAAATAGAAAGATATCTTATTTCTCTAGTTCAACCTTCATTTGACTGGAGACATCCACGCCATCACAGCTGCCAATAACTTGCTGGCTGCTGCCATCGACACCAGGATTCTGCATGAAAACACGCAAACTGATAAGGTGGGAAGGATTCCTTGCTGGCCATTTTGGGTATTATATCCTGGAATTCCTGGATACTTAAGCAGTTTGTGGAAAGAATTCCGGTGCCTGCAAACTCGGAAAGGTTATTCAATTCAATTTTGTGATTTTTACATATCCCTATTTCCCAAGGAGAAGGAGCCATCCTTTGGTCAGATTCTCATATGGGTTTATGAGCACTGCCAAGTTATTGAGAGAATTGTACTGTGTTGTAAAAGCCAAATACTATCTGAAATGAATTGTTAGTTTTAAAGACGGTAGGTAGACCAGTTCTCTTCATTCTGGCCGTAGGTACAATCTCTAGTCTATTCTAAGGGGATTGGACAGATGTCATTTTAAGAATAATGTTATGTGGAGCTATACTGGATGTGCTGAAAAGACGGCAGAGACCCTTGCTGGGCTTCTTGTGCATGTAGGTTATGAGTTAAACCACACCCCCAAAAGAGACCGCCCACCAGAAGCTAATCCCTCATAGACATGGGACATAGATAAAAGGGGTACTTGCTGACATGTTTTACAACAAGGGTCCTCATTTTCTAAAATTAAAGTAATTCCTTAGTGAGTCTTTGCAGCACAATCCAGATACATCTTCATTTTGTAGTTGTAGCGATATAGATTAAGAAATAAATTTATGCAAACTCTTTGCAATGTGTGTTATTTCAGATCTCGTCGGTTTTATGAAAATGACAGAATTTAAGTCTACATTGTTTATATTAGCCCACACACTTTAATAGGGCCTTTTATCTAAATAGTTCAGTTATAAATGCAATGAACTTTTTTCATATACTGCAAATTGTCCAAGTTCACGGACAGTTAACTTTTGTGGGGTCTTATTTTTGTTTTGTGTTTTTAGGCTCTGTATAATCGGCTGGTTCCTTTAGTGAATGGTGTCAGAGAATTTTCAGAAATCCAGCTTGCTCGGCTAAAAGTAAGTTTCCAGTTAGCAATTCTTTAAAAAGTAAATATCCTAGAAACACATCAGAAAGATTGTCAAAACCTGAAATTTTCAATTTGATTTCATTCTGGTTCTCTGATATCCTTTTGGGTATTAAACTCTATAGAGACAGAACACTGGAGCAGAGAGAGCACAGAGTTCGAAGCCTGACACCTGGTTCTACATGAAAGAGCCAGGTGGACAAATTAATTCACCTTTTTTGGTCTCATTTTCTTTTTCTATGACATGAGTGGCCTGTTTTGCTAATTTATGAGTACCCTAGTCAACTGACAAATTAGCTGAGCACAGGGGCACATACCTATAGTTTGAACTACTCATGATTCTGACATGAGAGGTTTGCTTGAGCCAAGGAGTTCAAGGTTATAGTGCACCATGATCCTGTAATTAGCCACTGCACACCAGCCTGGGCAGCATAGCAAGATCTCATCTCTTGAAAAAATTAACAAATTAGAATTTTTGGTGAGTCCTTCTCTTTCTAAAGTGAAATATTTTTATGAAATTTGTCAAATTTCTAGGAAATTATAAGATAACCTTTGAAAATGCATCTACGGTTTTTGGTTTATTTGTTTTGTTTTGTTTTTTGAGACGGAGTTTCACTCTTGTTGTCCAGGCTGGAGTGGCGTGATCTCGATTCACTGCAACCTCCACCTTCCTGGTTCAAGTGATTCTCCTGTCTTAGCCTCCTAAGTAACTGTGATTACAGACACTTACCACCGTGTCTGGCTAATTTTTGTATTTTTAGTAGAGATGGGGTTGGCCAGGCTGGTCTCAAACTCCTGACCTCAGGTGATCCACCTACCTTGGCCTCCCAAAGTGCTGGGATTACAGGCATGAGCCACTGCGCCCAGCCTCATCTATGGTTTTGTTGCAGCAAACATACGTGCAAATGCCATCTTAATTCTTCAAACCTGCCTTATCTTTTTTCTGATGATATTTGCTGCCTCTGATCTTCTAATCATATTGGTTGCTACTAGCTCTGTTTGAGAGGCTAGAACATAACCCTGAATGGTATAACTTACAACCCCTGGTTGGCATTAGTGGTTTTAAAAATTCGCCTCCTGCTTCTTACTGGACCAAGTTCAGTGTGTGGAAAGTAGTGAGTAATTCCATCCTTGGTAGCTCTAACAACATGCAGTTTCTGCTTCCCAGATCTTTTTTATGCTTCATCATTAAAAATCACTTTTCTTTTTGTGATTTAGATGTGATTTAGCTACCACACCCAGCCAAAAATTACTTTCTTAAGATGTTTTATTTACACAAAATCAGCAGGAAGATTTCTTGGCCTGGCACAGTGGGTCACACCTTTAATCCCAGCACTTAACCAGGCAAAGACAAGAGGATTGCTTGGGCCCAAGAGTTCATGACCAGCCCAAGCAACATAGCAAGACACCCATCTCTACAAAAAATTTAAAAATTGGCCGGACATTAAAAGTTTTAATGTTTTTTTTTTTCTCCTCCATGACAGTCATGCATGACAGTCTTGCTCTGTCGCCTAGGCCGGAGTGCAGTGGCGCGATCTTGGTTCACTGCAACTTCTGCCTCCCAGGTTCAAGCAGTTCTCCTGCCTCAGCCTTCAGTAGCTGGGATTACAGGTGCCCACCACCATGCCAGCTAATTTTTGTATTTTTAGTAGAGAAGGGGTATCATCATCCATGTTGGCCAGGCTGGTCTCGAACTCCTGACCTCAGATGATACACCTGCCTCAGTCTCCCAAAGTGCTGGGATTACAGGCGTGAGCTACCACACCCAGCCAAAAATTACTTTCTTAAGATGTTTTATTTACACAAAATCAATAGGAAGATTTCTTGGCCTGGCACAGTGGCTCACACCTTTAATCCCAGCACTTAGCCAGATGAAGACAAGAGGATTGCTTGAGCCCAAGAGTTCATGACCAGCCCAAGCATCATAGCAAGACACACATCTCTACAAAAAAATTTAAAAATTGACCGGACATTAAAAGTTTTAATGTTTTTTTTTTCTCCTCCATGAATTAGGAATAATTTACTTTGCAATATAAGAATAAACTTAAAATTACTGGTATTTGTATTTGAAAAGAACTAATGAACTGGGGTATCAGTTATATAGACAGCAGTTTATGTGTCTTCTGAGCAGGGTACATGGTGGCTACATAGAGCAGCCCAAGGAGGCCCTGGTGAAGCAGCCAGCAGCAGGCACAAGTTGTAGTTAGTTATATGCTGTCAACCCAGGACATCTTCACATCAATGCATTTCAGACTTTGTTCCAAATTCCCAGTATCTTACACTTGTAGAAGAAATCTGGCCCTAGGCATTTGTCTGATTTGGCCTAACCTATAATTCATTCAAAGTTCAGTTTAGTTTTTTTTTTTTTTTGGGTGGGGTGAGGCAGAGTCTTGTTCTGTTGCCCAGCCTAGAGTGCAATGGCATGATCTCAGCTCCCTGCAACCTCCACCTCCCAGGTTCAAGCAGTTCTCCTGCCTCAGGCTCCCAAGTAGCTGGGGTTACAGGTGCTCTCCACCACGCCTGGCTAATTAAAAAAAAAAAAAAAATTGTGTGTGTTTTTAGTAGAGACGGTGTTTCACCATGTTGGCCAGTCTGGTCTCGAACTCCTGACCTCAGGTGATCTGCCTGCCTCATCCTTCCAAAGTGCTGGGATTACAGGTATGAGCCACTGTGCTCGGCCCAGTTTCATTTTTTAAAAGGCTTTACTAATCATGGAGAAAAGTAAATTAGAGGGATATTTTTGGTGACCTTTTCAAACTTCTCACATTTTTTCTTCTTAATCATTAGAAATTGGGAATAAATAAGACTGATCCAAGCACACTGACAGAAGAGGAAGTGAGTACATTTGCCCGTCTCAACATCGACCCGTCTACCATCACGTGGCAGAGAGGTGGGTGCTGGGGAGATGCCAGCAGGCTGATGGCCGAAGCTCTTAGATTAAATTCAGAAACTCACAGCTTGATCCTGTGCAGTGGTCTTCCCAGCCTGTGCTTCATGTTCTCACCATTTATTTCAGTGACTTTTATCTTACCACCCTCTTCCCTTAGCCTTGCCTCCAAACAAAATTTCTCTCCAGGCTCAATCCCATCTACTCCTGTGTCTTCCAGATTTCCAAGGAAAATTACCTAATTTTCTCTTCAGTTTCTCTCATCTTTGGCCTCTTGTCTCTATATTAAGAAAAAACAAGCAAATTTTTAAAAAGTTAAAAAAGACCAGACCTGCCTGGCTTTGTCCTGCTCCTCCTCCACCCACCATCTCACCTTCCTCTGTTCACTTCCTTACCACTGGTTCTCGGTGTGTTTCCAATGCTGGATTTTCCTCCAGATCTGATATGTGCTTCCACCCGTTTACAAGGCTTCCCTCCACCACTTCAAATACAGCCGGGTGGACTCCCCACGAGCTCCCCACCACCTCGACTTCCCTGCGTCCCTCTCAGCTGTGATGTCCCCTTCCTTCTCTGCACTGGCCTCAGTCTTATAGCTCACTGTGGGATGAGACAGAGGGCAAGCACTAAATGGGAAGTCAGGATCCCTGAGTGTGTCTTTTTTCTACCACGGACTCACTGCATGGCCTTGAGCAAGTCACATGCATGCTCTTGGCATTGGAAATGGAGATGGTCCCATACGCTGCACAGAAATACAGCAAGCACACTTCAAGTACCTCCTACGGCTGTAGAAATGTTCGATGGCGTGGATTCCTGATCCTTCCTCGATTATTCTTCTCATACCTCTCCCCTCAGTTTACCTCTTTATTCTCACATTTGGAACATATTTATGAGATGCACATTTTATAGCAGTTCCAGACTGATTTCCTCGCTTCCATTTCCATCCCCTAGTTCAGAGGGTTCACAGTAACAGAGATACCCTCTTGTGGTCAGCGGCCTCCAGTGGCTCCCCACATCCTGGGTGACAGAGTGGCCATCGCAGAGCTTGGCCTTCAGGACACCCGCAGTGGCTTCCCTCCCTAAGCTCCCTGCCTGCTTTCTACCCAGGCGGGCCTACCTCTGTCCTGCTGCCAGCCCTGGCTGGGCCGTCTCCATCCCGTCTCCTGCCGAGGCCACTCTTGCCCTCCAAGATGAGCCCAGGTCTTGTGCCTTCAGGGAGTTTCCTTCCTGGGAACCCACATACCCAGTCCATTAAGAATTTAGTGTTTTCCCACAAACCATGAGGTAGAGAGACAAACACCAGAGACTAAGCCTTGGCTCTGCCATTTATGAGCTGCACGACTTTGGACAGACGACTGATTCAGTTTCCTCATCTTTAAAATGGAATCATAATTCCAGCTTCCAAGCTGGGGTGCTTCACTGAAACACAAGCATCCTTTCCTGACCTGAAAGCTGTGCCCACACGATCAACAGAAGTCACTTTGGTGACAGTTGTATTGAGTAGTGTTTTTTTCTTTCTTTCTTTTTTTGAGATATAGTCTCGCTCTGTCACCCAGGCTGGAGTGCAGTGGCATGATCTTGGCTCATTGCAAACTCCGCCTCCGAGGTTCAAGTGATTCTTCTGCCTCAGCCTCCTGAGTAGCTGGGACTACAGGTGCATGCCAACACGCCTGGCTAATTTTTGTATTTTTAGTAGAGATAGGGTTTCACTATGTTGGCCAGCCTGGTCTTGAACTCCTGACTTCGTGATCCACCCACCTCGGCCTCCCAAAATGCTGGGATTACGGGTGTGAGCCACAGTGCCCGGCCTGAGGAGGTTTTTTTGTTTGTTTGTTTTTGTTCTGAGACAGAGTCTCACTCGCTTTGTCACCCAGGCTGAAGTACAGTGGCATGATCTCGGCTCACTGCAACCTCTTCCTCACTGGCTCGGTCAATTCTCCTGCCTCATTCTCACAAGTAGCTTAGATTACAGGCACACACCACCACCATGGCTCATTTTTGTATTTTTAGTAGATACGTGGCTTGACCATGTTGGCCCGGCTGATCTCGAACTGCTGATTTCAAGCAATCCACTCACCTCGGCCTCCCAAAGTGCTGGGATTACAGACGTGAGCCATCTTGCCTGGCTCGGGTAGTTTTTTTGAGTGTCTTTGTCTCCCAAACTAAAGTAAAATCTCCTTGGAAATGTTGTGGGTTTTTGTTTTGTTTTGTTTGAGACAAGGTCTGTCTTACTCTGTCACCCAGGTTGGAGTGCAGTGGTGCAATCTGCACTCACTGCAACCTCTGCCTCACACTCTCGAGGGATTCTCCAGCCTCAGCTTCCTGAGTAGCTGGGGTTACAGGAGTGTGCCACGACGCTCAGCTAGTTTTTGTATTTTTAGTGGAGATGGGATTTCATCACGTTGCCCAGGCTGGTCTCAAACTCCTGAGCTCAAGTGATCTGCCTGCCTTGGCCTCCCAAAGTGCTGGGATTACAGGCGTGAGCCACCGCACCCAGTCTGCAAACTTTTAAGGATACGTTTTTCATTTTGAAATAAGTAATAACATTGTAGAGATTTTGGAAATGCCTCAAAAGAATTTTAAAAACCTTACTATACTAATAAAACTATTCATAGATTTTTGCATGCATCTAGTTTTTTGGTATAACTCTAGTTATAACTTAAGTGTATAGATTTTATATCCTATACGTTTCATTTATGTCATAAGTATTTTATATTCTGTTGTCTCTTTGTTGTAATGGCCATTTTAAATACTCTAGAATATTCCTTTGTGGATGAACCACAGCTTACTTAAGCATGCCTCAGTTCTTGAAAACACCAATAGCATTTTAAATAATGGACATGAATACTTTGAGCATTTTATTAAGGAGCCTACATATTTTCTCTGAATTTTTTTTTAGAACTAGGAAGATTTGTTATTAAAACATTATGATGTCCAAAATGTATTGTCATGTTTTTTCTCCAAGGTATTTGTGATTCTGTGTTACTCTTCAAAACCGTTTTGGAGGTTTGCTGATGACAGAAAAATCACGAAGGTGGAAATTAGTGTATTTTTCACCAAACATCTGGAGGTGCTAAAAGAGAAAGTTTCATGCCAATTGGCATTCTTCTGTTTCTGCTTTGGGGCTCCGGCCTGAGCAGCCATCAGAAACGGGACAAGGGCTTAGATGTAGCTCTTGGAAGAGAAAGTCTACGTCATCTTTTGTACCTGGGGCTGGTATGCGATTGGTTTCTCTCTGTGGAGTCAGGAAGGATTGAAACATTCTGTGGTTGTGAATCACTTTTACTGGAAGTGACAATTTACAAAATTATTCCAAAAAAGATTCGAATTCCATTATTGTTCAGGGCAAAGAAAACTTCATTGAAGCAAAGAAAACTTTATTTCTGTGGACAAGTTACCTGGGTCAGAGGAATTTGGAATGACATTTGATAAGTAGTTTGGCTCTTATTGCCATGAATTAATATCAGAAATAGGACTCTTCATCAAAAGAATGGAGAACAGTTACTAGATTGGATCTTTATTTGATTTGACAACTAGAGCGGGACACTCGGGGTGCAGGGGGGTGGGAATGAACCCTTCTTGTCAGGCCATGTGGATGCTGCGCCATTTAATGACCACCCCCTCCTTTCAGCCTGTGTACAAGTCTGATGATTGTTTCATCTTACACCTCATAAGTTTAAAGGCTGCGTGTTCCTGGAACCAGAGTGGGACAGGGAATCCACAGACCTTTTCAGAAATGCTAACATAAGCAGAAGAAAATGTAGACATAGAGCCACTTTGTTACAGAGCACAATTTTGCACAGGTGGGCAGGTTGGAGCCTCTGCCTCTCTGAGCATCCGAGCCCTTGGACCTTACAGCCTTGCCATTTCTCCATCTCCCTCGCATGCCTATCTCTTGGCCGTGGACCAAGGGTCCGCTAGCCTCCCTGAGCCTCAGGGAATCAACCATCAGGTGGCTGGTTCTTTGCCCCAACAACATTCTAGGGAATCAGTACCGTGTCTTCCACTGGAGCCAAAATAGTGGACCTGTCCCTGTCTTAATAGCGTGTACCACCAGGCTCTTAGCCAGTATTGTCTGTTTCATCGGCCATTAGGCACACTCTGGATGTTCCTTAGGACATGGTCAGATCTGTACTACTAAAGGGACTGTCTAGAGCAAAAACTAAGCAAACAGATCTCCCCCTACTGCCTCCACCCCCACCCCCACTGGCACTCTCTATAGGATGCTTTATGTCAGAGACTGGCGCGGTCTTCACTTTTGTATCTCCGTACAGCTGGCTCAGGAGTATGCACAAGTAGCCCCTCAATACATAGCCCAGGAGCCAATAAGTGTCTGTTATTCCATTTTAGTTCTATCCTTCAGAGACCAAGAATTCCATTTTGGATCACTAACGTAGGGTTACTTTCTAGTATCTTTCTTGTGGGCTGGAATTTAACTTCCACATTTCTTCTTTCTTTCTTTTTTTGAGACAGAGTCTTGCTTTGTCACCAGGCTGGAGTGCATGGTGTGACCTCGGCTCACTGCACCCTCTGCCTCCTGAGTACAAGTGATTCTCCTGCCTCAGCCTCCCAAGTAGCTGGGATTACAGGCATGCGCCACCGCACTCAGCTAATTTTTTTATTTTTAGTAGAGATGGGGTTTCACCATCTTAGCCAGATGGTCTCAATCTCTTGACCTCATGATCCACCTGCCGTGGCCTCCTGCAGCGCTGGGATTACAGACGTGAACCACCATGCCCAGCCAAATTTTTGTATTTTTAGTAGAGACGAGGTTTCACCATGTTGGCCAGGATGGTCTTGATTTCTTGACCTCATGATCTGCCTGCCTCATCCTGCCAATTTGCTGGGATTACAGGAGTGAGCCACCACACGTAGCTAACCTCCACATTTCTTATGTATCACTGATACTGTTACATGTCTCTTTCTCTACATAATCAAAATCCTGGTGGATTGCAAGACTCTCTGCTTCCTAGGCCATGCTAAAGGCACAGGTGGGCTTTGGAGGCCACTGATTCTAGTTGATCTTGCCAGATTTTTTTTTTCTTGTTTTCTGTTTGCTAAATAAAAGCCTTGAATTTCTATTGTTGATTTTAAAGAAATTTGATAAAAAGATCCCCTCGATCTGTTGCCAAGATTGTGCATACTACGTAGCAGGAAAGATGTTTTTACTTGATTGGCTTTGCACCTTCTATGCATCTTGGGAAGAATAGGTGGCTGATGATGCTATTGAGAAGCAGGCCTGTCATTTTGTATTTGCTCTGTGTATAGCTGAGAAACTCATAGAGGAGGTTTCTGTGAGGTGTGAGTGTGTGTGAGAGAGGGAGCTTGTTACAAAGACAAACAGCTGCCGCGTCAGGGAGCAGCCACAGGCCACGAGGGCAAGCTGGCCTGCTAGCGCTCTGCGTGTGAAAGAAAAGGTTAGCTTTCTTCATTGTACAGATGCCTACAGTCCCAAATACATAATTTCTGTCACCGTTTTCATCAGTGCCATATCGTGTACATTGAGTAGAATGGATCTAAGTTGTCAAGGTGGACAGCTTGTTATTTGAAGCTGCATAAATTAGCAAAGTCAGTGTTCTGGTGTTGTTTTGTTGCAATGGTATTCACTAAATCACATCTAATTTTCCCAAAAATGTAAATAACTGCAGTTCTTGTTTTTTGTTGTTTTATTTAGAGACAGAGTCTTGGCCAGGTACGGCGGCTCATGCCTGTAATCTCAGCACCTTGGGAGGCTGAGGCAGGTGGATCACCTGAGGTCAGGAGTTCGAGACCAGCCTTGCCAACATGGTGAAACCCTGTCTCTACTAAAAATACAAAAAATTAGCCAGGTGTGGTGGCTGGGACCTGTAATTCCAGCTACTCTGGAGGCTGAGGCAGGAGAATGGCTTGAACCCAAGAGTTTCAAGAGGTGGAGGTTGTAGTGAGCTGAGATCACACCATTGCAGTCTAGCCTGGGCGACAGAGTGAGAATCTGTCACAAAAAACAAAGAAGACACAAGCTCTCACCTCCGTCTCCCAAATGGAAGTGCAGAGACACAATCATGGTCATTGTAGCCTCAACCTCCCAGACTCAAGCGATCCTTCCACCTCATTTTTTATTCTTTATTCCCACTGTTTCCCAGGGTGTTCTCAAATTCCTGGGCGATCCTCTGACCTTGGCCTCCCAAAGTGCTGGGATGACAGGTGTGTGCCACCATGCCCACCCAACAGCTGAAATTCAAATAAGCCAATGAGGAAAATGAAGAAAAATGGTGCCTGTTCTAATCACATTGACTTTTCCTCCCAATACTACTTTATTTGCCTTTGGTTTGTAAAACTGTGGTTAATTAGACATAACAATATTTTTATCCATTTGTCAGCACACAACTCATGGCATTAGATGCATTCACAGTGATTACACTACCATCACTATACCCAGAACCTTTTCATCATCCCCAACAAAAGGTCCTTATCCAGTAAATAACTGCTCACCTCTTCTGTTCCGGCCTATTCTAGGTACCTGATGTAAGTGGACTCATATAGTATTTGCCTTTCTGTATCTGGCTTATTTTACTATGCACAGTGTTTTCAACATCCATTCATGTATCAACCTGACCTTCTTTTATAGCTGTATGATATGCCATTGCCTGTCTGCCACATTTTGTTTATCCATTCACCTGTTGGTCTGTTTTGAATAGTGCTACTCTGAATGTGGGTGTACAGATATCTAAGTGTCTCCTTTCAGTTCTTTTTTTTTTTTTGAGACGGAGTTTCACTCTTATTACTCAGACTGGAGTGCAATGGCAAGATCTTGGCTCAGTGGAACCTCCACCTTCTGGGTTCAAGCAATTCTCTTGCCTCACCCTCCCGAGTAGCTGGGATTAGAGGCACGCACCACCATGCCCAGCTAATTTTTGTAATTTTAGTAGAGACGGGGTTTCACCTCGTTGACCAGGATGGTCTTGATCTCTTGACCTCGTGATCCACCCGCCTCGGCCTCCCAAAGTGCTGGGATTACAGGCGTGAGCCACTGCACCTGGCCTCCTTTCAGTTCTTTTGGGTAATATTGAGAAGGGAAATTGCTGGGTTTTTTTTGTTTTTTCAGTCAGAGTCTCACTGTGTCGCCCAGGTTGGAGCGCAGTGGCACGTTCTTGGCTCACTGCAACCTCTGCCTCCAGTTCAAGTGATTCTCCTGTTTCAACTTCCAGAGTAGCTGGGATTGCAGGCAGGCGCCACCACACCCGGCTAATTTTTTATTTTTAGTAGAGACAGGGTTTCACCATGTTGGTCAGGCCAGTCCTGAACTAGTGACCTCGTGATCAACCCACCTTGGCCTCCCAAAAAAAGCCTCTAAAAAAAGGCTGGGATTACAGGCCTGAACCACGATGTCCAACCTGCTGGTTGTTTTATGTTCCACCTTTTGAGAAAACTGGATTGGCTTCTGTGACTTGGGTTTCATCATAACACCCCTTGTCTTCCTGTGGCACTTATCACTAGTGGTTATTTTCTCTTTCTTTCTTTCTTTTATTATTATTATTATTATTTTTTGAAATAGCGTCTCATTCTGTCTCCCAGGCTGGAGTGCAGTGGCGTGATCTCAGTTCACTGCAACCTCCGCCTCCGAGTTCAAGCAACTCTCCTGCCTCAGCCTGTTGTGTAGCTGGGATCACAGGATCTCACCACCATGCCTGGCTAATTTTTGCATTTTTAGTAGAGACAGGTTTCACCATGTTGGCCAGGCTTGTCTTGACTCCTGACCTCAAGTGATCTCCCACCTCGGCCTCCCAAAGTGCTGGGATTACAGGCGTAAGCCACCATGCCCCGCCTCTAGTGGATGTTGTTTTGTTTATTTGATTCTTTCTGTGTCTACCCAGTAGGTGGTCAGCTTGGGGGAGGCTGGCCATGTCTCTTTTACCCTCTGCAACTTCCCGAGCATCAGAACAATGTCAGACATACACCAGGTGGCAGGTCCATATTTGCTGACTGAAGAACTAATCTGTTCTCTTTCAGTATTGGATACCAACGACCGATTTCTACGAAAAATAACCATCGGGCAGGGAAACGCAGAGAAGGGCTATTCCCGGCAGGTAGGTGGTGCTTTTTACTGGGATTGGCTCTGTTCTTACGTTCGTTTCCACTGGCCTGGGAGCTCACTCTTTGCCTTTCTCTTCTTATCCCCAACCTGTTGTGGCCAGTGGTTCTCCCACTGCTTCATGCTCTCAGCAGGGCTGGGAGAGGATCAGAAGACACAGAGGCTCCAATGTCTTTTTACCAACTTTTCCATGTATGTTAATTTCATTTTTTTTCATGTATATTTCAAATTATGTTTCTAGAAAGAGCTACTCAGGGTGTTCCTTGAATATAAATTCTTATTTTATTGGGAACCCACCCAGGTAATACTACATCTGCATAATTGATAAAAGAAAATCTCAGACACATTACTCAAATTTTACATATCAAAGAACAAAAACCTAATTATTAGACTTTATAGCATGAGGAGTTTTTTTTTAAAGGATAGTGGCTTATTACTCATATAGGGAATGCAGAAGAAAAATTATGATGTCTGCCTTCACTGTAATAGATTTTTCATGTGTGTCAATGGCACTTAGGGAATACAAATTAATTCCATGATTTTTCGGCACAGTGAATTTCTAAATTGTGGTGGTTTTTTTTTCTTTTTTTTTTTTTTGAATTGGTTATAAACTTTACGTTTTAGAACAGTTTTAGATTTATGTCCTTTATGTTGTCTTTATTAGTGAAAGAAAAGTCACTTGTACTATAATAACCAATCCTTACACCAGATAGACTTGTGACCTTTCAAAATGTCTTGAATTAAAAAGTGAATAAATACAGGCATTGCCTTAAGAAGAGAAACTAAGTTCATGGACCTCCTCTCTTACCAGTCCTTGAACTTACATATACACACACAGAGATTTCCAATATCCATGCTAGCAAACTGGAATCATTGCCATGAAGTTTTAGAAATTTCTGAAAAATAGAAAGATGGAATTAGATTGATGGAGAAAAGGACAGCCCAAACTATAGTGGGCTTAGATCCTTAACAAGCATTCTTGCTTTTCATGTTCCTCAGCCTCTCCTGCTGAAGTGGGAGTTTTGCAAGAAAAAAGGTTATTCCCTTTTTTATTTATTGCTGTATTCCCTATGCTCAGAACAGAACTTTGTTACATATAGTAGTAGGTGTTTTGTAAATATCTGTCCAACAAATGAGTATAATAAGTAAGACAGTTTCTGGATACAGAAGTAAAATGCCAACATGGAAGGATATTCACGAGTAGTCAGAAAACTGCAGACTGAAACAATCGAGTATCATTTACCTAAGAGTTTATCAAGTAAAAATAGTAGATACTAAGTGCTAGTGAGGATTGCAAGGAAATGGGGATGTGGGAGTAGAAATCCTTTTTTGATGAGTTTGTTATTACTAAAATTTGAAATAACCCAACCATTACAACTTTTGGACTAAAAGTATTTTAATAAAAAGAAGAAGAGGGGGCCACAGTGGCTCCGGCCAGTTGTCCTGGCGCTTGAGGAGGCGAGGCCATGAGTTCAAGGCCAACCTGAGCAACGTTACATGCTCTCATTGATTGACAAAAAAAAAAAAAAGAAGAAGAAGAAGAAGAAGATGTGTTCGATGCAGAAAAAATTCTGTGTATTAGGAGATCTGTTGTGGCATTATTTACTGTGGTGAAAATTTGAACATTCCAAATGTCCAGCAGTAGGGATGGTTGCATATATTTGGTTTGTCATTTTGTATCATGGGAGAGTTGAAATTAATCAATGTGTGTATAGGTGTCATGATGAGAGTAGAGAGCTCTCATACCCATTGGAAAGGTTTTAAAAACCATTTAAAAAATTTGAAGTAAAATACTGACATTGTAAACGTGTTTACATTAAGAAAAACCCAGCGTGTTTACTTAATTCTAGGCACTTCTAGCTTATTTATGTATATAAGGGCCTAGAATGAAAAGTAGAAAGATGTATAGGGCATTAGTTGCCTGTGGAAAGAGGATTGGGAATGAAAGCGAGGATTGAAAAGGCCTTCATTTAAGTGCCTACCCTGTGCATTGTATTAACATTTCCATTGTATACATTAGCACAGTTGTAAAGCTGATTTACAAATGAGGAAATTGGGATGTTATGTCAAAAATCTTGCCCAAGGCTGTATCTTGTATTGCTTTGTGCATAGATATTTTTAAATAAAAAGGGATTATATTGTGTTTAAGAGTTTTAACTGCTTTTTATTTATCTTAAGATTGTAGTGAAGACAACTTTTTAGGTCAATAATGGTAGATGTGTAGCATCAGTTTTAACGGCTATGTCATGTCTCATAGAGGTACCGTAATGGATTCAACCAGTTCCCTGTTGATGAGCATGTAGATTGCAGTTTGTGGCTATCACAAGTAAGCTGTAGTAACTATACACACATTTTTTTGTGTGTACTTGTTGGCAGTACCCTTAGGATATTATTCCAGAGGTATGATTACAGAGTCAGAGGATACAATTTTCAAATGTTGACATATATTTTGACAGTACCTTCCAGGAAATTCATATCAATTCACATCTGAGCCAACAGCCCACATTGGCCTTTGTTTAAATTTGTGCTAAATCCCTCATTTGCCCTATTGTGATTGTTATGCATTGCATACCTGTATCGTAATATTTCATGCGATCCATAAATATATACACCCACTGTATACCTACGAAATGAAAAAGTAACTACTAAATCAATAAACCTGTGGTAAGCTGATAAAAATAAAAGTTTTATTTGCACCTTTGTATGATTTTGAAAAATTTTATTTGCAAAACAAAATGAGCAGCCTTACACTATGCACATCATTTAGTCATTAAAGTGAATAAATGATATTTCACTTACCCAATTGGTCTCATTTTTTGATGCTCCAGATGTGGAATGTTGTAATTGTAACAATTAGAAATGAAGATCTTGATATGGATTATATATTCTTATTTACACAGCTAATATTTCAAGAATATGTCTAGTCTCATGTTTTGTACAGAAAATCTCAATTTTTTTTAGTCATTTTCTCATATGCACTGCTTATAATGGAATGGTAGTATGGAGAACCCTAAATTTCATACAGTGAAAAACCACTTATCTTTGAAATGAGTTATATTGAGAATGCAATAATTGAATATAGTTGTATATGAATTCCAGGTAATATTTTTTCACTAAATCAGTGCATCATGCAATCTCAACCAGGAAGTAGCCAGAAAGCTCCTTATTTCCTTCATTTCCTTACTTGTCAGGGATGGAAATGGATAATAAAATGTCTCATAAGGTGATCCCACCAGGGCACAGCCATTCTTTCTCTGCCTAAGCTTGAACTTGTCTGGCTCACACTCCCCTTGGAAAGAAGAGAATTAAGCTGGGATGTAATGAAGTGGTTCTGTCCAGAGAAACGTTCCTAGAGGCTGAATTATGAGGAGGAGGAAGTACACACTGTACAAATAGGGAGACAGAGCCAAGAGATGGGAACAGGAAGTCTTAGAAACTTTTTGCAAAAAGTCTCTGCTCTCTAAGATTTCACTACTGAAAGCTTCAAGATCTGATGTGGCCATACCCTCCTGGGCAGCTGAAAATTGAGTCTGTGCCACCAGTTGACAGGATTACCCTTCCTGCTGTGTTGAGATCCAGATCTGGGATCGTAGACTCACATGCAGGAAGCCAGCATCTTTCACTGCCCCTTACCTCTGTGCCAGACAGACAAATGCAGACTCCTTGACAGACCGATTACTGACAGGGAAGGAGGTCTATCGGCTGGTCATTAACTGATTCAATGTGTATTGCATGCCTGCTGAGTTTCATGCTCCATGCTCTGAATTCAGAAGTGAACCTGCCTAATACAGTCCCTGCCTTCATGGCTCTTATGGTCCAGTGGTAGAGACACACCCTAGACAGATCACGACATTAGTAATCAGTTAAGTCTGAGACATGCTACAACAGCAAACCAGTTGGTGGTGCTGTGAGCAGGTGTGACAGGGGCCTAACCCAGCCACCCTTTGCTGAACAGAGCACGGCAAAGAGCATGTTCCCCCTGGGACACCACCCTACGGAGCACCAGGGACAAACCTGCATGGTCTAGACATGCAGAAAAGTGATGGGATTGCATTCATGGCCTTTAGAGGATAGACTCCCTGGGCCTGCAGTTGCTTCATGGCTGAAATCCAGCTCCTTGTGGGAACGGCCATCCCAGTGGTGCTGTCACTGACCACTACCTGTGCTTGGGCTGATTCAGGCGCAGTTTGACATCGCGGTGGCCAGCGAGATCATGGCGGTGCTGGCCCTGACGGACAGCCTTGCGGACATGAAGGTTCGGCTGGGAAGGATGGTGGTGGCCAGTGACAAAAGCGGACAGCCTGTGACAGCAGATGATTTGGTGAGTGTTTCCAACCCGGAAGCTCCAGGGAGTGGGCTGTCCTTGTTCTTTGTTACCGGAAGAAAGGTTTTCTTCCTTTTATCAGTAGGTGTAATGAGGATCCAGAAGAAGTTTCCACACGCACATTTCTTCCCTCACAAGCACGTCTGACCGCTTCCTAGTGTTCTCATAGTCATATATGATGTGCTCACACCTGGCTGCACCAAAACATGTGAAATTGATTTCAGGAGCTTTCCACCCTCCTTGCCAATCCTGATCTCTGCTTCTATCTGGGCTGGGGAGGGGTCATCCCCTTGCAGTCACTTGGTAGCTTTTAAAAAATATGCCACTAGCCGGGCACGCTGGCTCCTGCCTGTAATCCCAGCACTTTGGGAGGCCGAGGTGGGTGGATCATGAGTCAGGAGTTCAAGACCAGCCCGGCCAAGATGGTGAAAACCTGTCTCTACTAAAAAATACAATAAATAGCCAAGCGTGGTGGCAGGTACCTGTAATCCCAGCTACTCAGGAGCCTGAGGCAGGAGAATTGCTTCAACCTGGGAGGCGGAGGTTGCAGGGAGCTGGGATCACGCCACTGCACTCCAGCCTGGGTGACAGAGTGAGACTCCGTTTCAAAAAAAAAAAAAAAGTGCCATTTATGCCTGCCTGAAATTGAGATCAAATCGCTTTTCCAATGAACAGAAGGAAGGGGCTCTGCTTTCATGAACAGGAAGATAAAGTTAAAATTGGCACATTTCTGGCAATAGCCTGGCATGTTATTTAAGTTAGAGCCTTACATTTGGGTTTCATATTATAAAAGCAAATCTCTACCTTAATCAGTCTTGCTTTTCTGTTCCCCTTTGAACAGGACAATGCTTTCTGTAATGCTTTCATGGTTACCTTTTTAGTTACCTGACTATTTTTCAGCTGCTTTTGAAGAACTGAGTCTGACTCATCTTATAGATCTTGTTAAGTAACTTCAATAGATCAATTTATGTCAGGAGTCTATGGAATATTTAGTATAAAACTTAAAGAGAAAACCCTCAGGTTGCTGTACAAGTGCTGTTTTATTAAAATTACCCAAATCTCACTATTTCTATCTAAACTAACATACTACATAGTTACCTTTTTTGGTAACCTTGAAAGCATTATAGAAAGCATTGCACTACTCAAATGGTTACCATTACCTTTTTTATTGCTTTTTCTAATTGGCATGCTCATTTTTTTTTCTTCTTCGTCTTTGTAATATAAACAACGTTTCCTATTACCTTTTTTTTTTTTTTTTTTTTTTTTTGAGACAGTCTGGCTCTGTTGCCCAAGCTGAAGTGCAGTGGTGAGATCTCGGCTCACTGCAGCCTCTGCCTCCTGGGTTCAAGTAATTCTCCTGCCTCAGCCTCCCGAATAGCTGGGATTACAGGCATGTGCCACCATGCCCGGCTAATTTTTGTAATTTTAATAGAGATGGGGTTTTGCCACGTTGGACAGGCTAATCTCGAACTCCTGACTTCAGGTGATCCACCCACCTTGGCCTCACAAAGTGCTGGATTATAGTCATGAGCCACTGCACCCAGCCTTTTCCAGTTAACTTAAACTCCATATATGCCATAGGTGTTTTGTGTGCTTGCATTTGTGTATCTAAGTGCAGGATTATGTCTCAGGTTGCCTCTGAGACAACCATCACTTCAAATTTAAGCTTACTTTCTCATATACGGAAGTAATGGAATTTAAAATGCACACTGGTGATTGTAAACACAGTTGTGAACAGAGAAAGGCAAAGTCATATTCTATTAATTTCAATGGCTTAGGATGTAATTTGAATTCTTTAATTCGTTTTCAAAGTGTCCTGATTGTTTTTCAGCTGCTTTTGAAGAAATGAGTCTGACTCATCTCATAGGTCTTGTCAAGTAAATTCAATAGATCAATTTATGTCAGCAGCCTATGGAATATTTAGTATAAAACTTAAAAAGAGAAAACCCTCGGGTTGCTATACAAGTGCTGCTTTATTAAAATTACCCAAATCTCACTATTTCTATCTAAATGAACATACTACAGTTTCTGTCTAAATACATTGCTCTGTACTTTATTAATTTGCATAGCAATAAATGTGAATCAGGAGCAGTTTTGAAACTTAATCCTCAAATACTACTTTCTTAAATGTATTTATTTGCTTATTTATTTTTATTTATTATTTTTGAGGTGGAGTTTCACTCTTGTTTCCCAGGCTGGAGTACAGTGGTACTCCCAGGTTCAAGTTATTCTCCTGCCTCAGCCTCCCAAATAGCTGGGATTATAGGTGCGCACCACCATGCCTGGCTAATTTTGGCATTTTTAGTAGAGATGGGGTTTCACCATGTTGGCCAGGTTGGTCTTGAACTCCTCAGGTTATATGCCCACCTCAGCCTCCCAAAGTGCTGGGATTATAGGTGTGAGGTCACGACGCCCGGCCCTTAAATTTATTTTTATGTTAGTATATGATAAAAATCTTGAATCTGCAAGAAACGCAAAGCTTAGTCTTTTTCATTGTCTTTTGTGTTTTGCCTTTTAGTTATCTTTCGTGTTTCTTGTTTGCACAAAGTACCTTATTTATTCAAATTGTGCTTCATCCAGTGGGAGCTATCGAGAGTTGGCTATGCATAGAAAATTGGGGAATTGGGGGAAGATTTTAGGAACTGCTGAAAGTCCGAGCCCTCCCCACGTGGACACAGAGCTTGGAATGCTAGCAGGCACAGAGGGTGGCAGAGCTTGTCTGGCACATGACAGCAGAAGCACTGAGATGTGTCCCAAAAATGAGCAGGTGGAAACCTGCCTGAGACATCCAACAGAAATATCCCACTTAACTTCTCCCCTCCTTTAGTTTTTTGAATCAGTTTCTTTGGTTGGGAAGTATAAGCAAGGACAGTGTGCAGAGAAGTAGGCAAGCTCCTTCTCTTCTTCCACCTGCTCTGCATTAGCACAACAGCACGACTCTCACAGAGCCCTTCCTGTCCTGCAGCTTTCTTCCTCTTCTTTCTCTTCTTTCTTTCTTTTCCTTTCTTTCTTCTTTCTTTCTTTCTTTCTTTCTTTCTTTCTTTCTTTCTTTCTTTCTTTCTTTCTTTCTCCTTCCTTCCTTCCTTCCTTCCTTCCTTCCTTCCTTCCTTCCTTTTCTCTTTTTCTTTCTTTCTTTCTTCTTTTTTTTTCTTTTTTGTGAGATTGAGTCTCGCTCTGTCGCCCAGGCTGGAGTGTAGTGGTGCAATCTCGGCTCACTGCAACATCTGACTCCTGGGTTCAAGCAATTCTCCTGCCTCAGCTTCCTGAGTAGCTGGGATTACAGGCATATGCCACCACGCCCGGCTAATTTTTGTTTTTTTTAATAGAGATGGGGTTTCGCCATATTGGCCAAGCTGGTCTCAATCTCCTGACCTCAGGTGATCCACCCATCTTGGACTGAAAGATTCGTTTTATGGAAAACTTCATAATCATCATCAAGGAAGGTTTTGGAAGAAGGGCAAACGTCCTTCAAAATGTACCTCACCATTCACATTGTAGAATGACTGACTTCATTCTCAGCTCTGGTGGGGAGAGGTGGACAGAGGCAGCAGCACTGTCCCCTGAGGCCTGGGGTTGCCTGTGGGGATGCCCACCCAAGAAGCAGGCTGGAGAGGAGTGCCATCCATTGCCTGGATGATCTTCTGTTAGAAATCTAATGTTTTTCTCTCTTCCACAGGGGGTGACAGGTGCTCTGACAGTTTTGATGAAAGATGCTATAAAACCAAATCTGATGCAGACCCTGGAAGTAAGTGGTTTTCTTCTTATAGTAATTGTTTGTATTAACGGGATTGCCAAACAGTGTGACCATATTTTGCCAACATGAGGCAGGCATAGAGCATGCAATGTGCCTTTGCGTGGCAGCAATGTGCTTTGCAATATCAGACAGAAAGAGTGAGGATCCGGTTATGAACCTGTATTAGTCTCTTTAGACATTGATATAAGGAACTACCTGAGACTAGGTAACTGATGCAGAAGGATCAGGATAACTTCTTGGTCAACCAAAAAGAAATTTAAAGTGTATTCATAGATTCTTTATGTGTCTTGGCTTAACTGACCTGAGTAGAAACTTACAACGTCAATGTCAGTCTAATATTTCAGTAGGTTGTATGGCTATGCTTAGAATATGTTTTCTGTTTTCCCTTAATCTCTCATAATCATTGAGTTGTGGATTTTTTTGTTTGCTTTTTTGTTGTTCGTTTGTTTCCAGGCAAAATACAGTAAATGCCAAGAAATACTTTCCAGAAAAGCATGCTGTACTCCATTTGTGTAAGGATATTAGTTTTGTACATGGCATGCCCTGCTCTTGTCTTCATTGAACTTAAATGTTTTGTCACGTTATCTCCATTTTAATCTAGTTTTCTAGTTACTAGTCATACTTTTTTGACTTAGTAATTGTCTAATTCCCTACTCCTTGCTAGTGAGACCTCAGGGTTTGGGCTCAAACAGAGAGGCAGTTTCTGGGCAAGTTGAGTAGAGACAAGTGGAAGGATACGGTTAGAGGAATGGAGGACAGTGGTGTCCTGGTGAGGGTTCTAACAGTCAGCACTCTGGGAAAGAAGAATTCCTGGGTAACAGCATTTGCCAGTTTCCATGGGATAACTGATCCTACCATGGCCAATCCCCAGCTCCCTTTCATGTCAGTCAACATGGGAATTAGAAGAAAGTTTCTGCTATCAAGTGGTACAAATGGGCTGTTTGTCCTCAAGCTGCAGTGGGACAAAAGGAGCTGCTGGAGGTAACCAGAGGGCAAATAATGTTGGGGGAACACAGCAGCAAGGCAGGTGGAATATCAATCTGTTCATTCTATTCATTCAGCTGATAGAAAGCTGAGTTTGGCCAGGTGCGGTAGTCTATGCTTGCAATCCCAGAACTTCAGGAGGCTGAAGAGGGTGGATCACTTGAGGTCAGGAGTTTGAGACCAGCCTGGCCAATATGGTAAAACCCGTCTCTACTAAAAATACAAAAATTTGCTGGGCATGGTGGCATGCACTGGAAGTCCCAGCTACTTGGGAGAGTGAGGCAGGAGAATCACTTGAACCTGGGAGGCAGAGGTGGTAGTGAGCTGAGATCATGCCACTGTACTCCAGCCTGGGTGACGGAGTGAGACTCTGTCTCAAAAAAAAAAGAAAAAGAAAACTGAGTTTGAATGTTCACTGTGCCATGTACATAATCTGGGGCAAATTATTTTATATTTCATCCTCAATTTTCTCCCCTGTAAAATGATCAAAGTAGCAACAACTAACTCAACAGAGTTATGGTGAAGATTAAATATTTATTTAAAGCATCACATGGATCAGTGCAATATAGTAGGGGCTAAGCATACAGCAGAGCACTATTCAATGTCCCAGCCCTCTTGAACCTCCACTTCAGTGAAGGAGGCAGACAAAAGGCAAACCAGTAAACACACAGCATGTTATTTGGTGGTAAGGTCTGGAGAGGAAAAATCAGAGACCAGGAGGGGCAGAGTGATGTGGGGTGTGTGTCTGTGTCTGCCCGCCTGTTAAGGCAGTACCTGCACAGAGCTGAGTAAACCAAGGAGGTGAGCCATGCGTGTGTCTTGAAGAGCATGTGGACAGAGGGTTACCTTGAGTGCAGAGGCCTTGGGCAGCAATGTGCTTTGCAATCTCAGGCAGAAAGAGCGAGGATCTGGTTAGTGACCTGTGTTAGTTCATTCTCACATTGCTCTAAGGAACTACCTGAGACTGGGTAATTGAAGAAAATTGGTATAACTGGCTCACAGTTCCACAGGCTTTATAGGAAGCATGGCTGGGGAGGCCTCAGGAAACTTACAATAGTGGTGGAAGTCAAAGGGTCTTCATATGGCAGAGCAGGAGAGAGAGAGAGAGAGCACAGGAGGAAGTGCTACCCACTTTTCAACAACTAGATCTCGTGAGAACTCACAATCTTGAGAACCGCAGGGGGAAATCCACTCCCAGGATCCAGTCACCTCCCACCAGGCCCCTCCTCCAACATTGAAGATTATAATTCCACGTGAGATTTGCACGGGGACAGAGAGCCAAACCATATCAGAACCAATATGACAGAAATGGGGGAACTGGCCAGGCACAGTGGCTCACGCCTGTAATCCCAGCACTTTGGGAGCCCAAGGCAGGCAGATCCCTTGAGGTCACGAGCTTGAGACCAGCCTGGCCAACATGGTGAATCCCGTCTCTACTAAAAATACAAAAAAAAACCTAGCTGGGTGTGGTGGTGCATACCTATAATCCCAGCTACTTGGAAGGCTGAGGCAGGAGAATTGCTTGAACCCCTAGAGGCAAAGGTTGTAGTGACCGAGATTACACCACTGCACTCCAGCCTAGGCAACAGAGTGAGACTCTAGCTTTAAAAAAAAAGAGAGCAGAAAGAAATGAGGGGACTATTTCTGAAGGTGCCCAGTGAGGTTGCTACCTGAAGGTGTCCTCTGAGCTGAGGAAGGGAGGACTGAGCACCTTTAAACAGGCGCCTGCAGCCCTGGGGGAGGGGGAGGGGTGCAGGATGCACAGGTGCCAAGGCCACACCCTTCTGCTGCAGGTTGCCTTTCCCATCTTTCCTCTCCCCGATCATTCTGCCAGCATGCACATGTCCTCAGAGGTAGGCCATCTTCAGAAGTAAACAAAAACATTTCAAAAGCCTCCCATCCCCCTGCATCCTCATCTAGCTCCTGCTCGGCTCTTGTCTGCATTGGGGTCTCCAGGTTGACTGACCTTGGGTTCCACCTCTCCTGACTGCCTTGTCTGGGTTACTTGTCTCTGGAGACACCAAGTCTTTGTTTCTCTGCCCTCCTCCGAGAAGCTCAGCAGAGTTTGACAGCTGCCCGTCTTCCTTCGGTAGCACCTGGTTCCTCTGGTGTCGGGGTCCTTCCCTCCCCAGGCCTGCTCGCTGCTCCTCCTCAGCTTTACTGGCTTCTCTGATGACGCCTCACTTTTCTCAGCCCATTCTCCTCCAGGATTAGCCAGGTATGACTCCCAAACTGTTGTTTGGAATCTCATGAACCTGGAATTTCAGACTTGCAGGTGTAGTTACCAGGAGCCACGTTGGTGGGTAAAAGCCATTTCAGGCCAGGTGTGGTGGCTCATGCCTGTAATCCAAGCACTTTGGAGGCCAAGGCGGGCAGATCACCTGAGGTCGGGAGTTCAAGACCAGCCTGACCAACATGGTGAAACCCCGTTTTTAAAATAAATAAATAAATAAAAAATAAATTTTAAAAGCCATTTCAAACTGATACATAAACTAGGACCCACCTTCCACTTCCTTCCAACCTCACTTCTTCCCTGAAACCTATCCAGTCATTCAGAGCAGAACCCCGGGATGATCCTGGAGGCATGTTTTCCCTTCCCATCTCCTGTCTCCATCCCTGCAGAGTCGTCCCTGATTACATGACTGCTCTGTCCACGGTGCTGGATGCCTCCTTCCTACTTCAGCCGCCAGCATGCCCCACCCGCAGCAGTGCAGCAGCCTCCCAACTAGCCTGTCTGCTGCTACTCTTTTCTTCCAAAATGCTCTCCCTCCTCAGCAGCCATAGAGAATGAAACATAATTAAGTCCTGTTGCTTTCCGGCTTAGAGTCCTTCCATGATTTACCCATGTTTCCACCCTGCTCCGAAAGACTCCTGGGATCTGGCCCTGGCCCCTTCCCCATCCCTGTCCCTTATGCTCATCTCTCATCCTCTGCCCAGCCCCTTTACATGGCTGACACCACTACCTGGGCCAGTTCCTGATATCCGCATGTCCAGCTCCTTCACCTCCCTCAGGTCTCATGTCACGTAAGCATCAGCTGCTCACGGAAGCCACAGGAAGATACAGCCTCTACCCCTCTGTGCTGTTATTACAGTGCATGGCAGAATGCTGAGAGCTTCCTATTTCCTTGTTTTCTGGATTTCTCCTCCCACTGGGATGAGAGCAGGACCTTTTCCATCCTTTACCACCATATCTCCAGCTCCTAGAAAGTGCCTAGCACCTATCAGAGGCTCAGTAAAGACTTGTCGAATAAGTAAATAAATGCTTATTATATTTACTACATTCTCCTAAAAATACATATTTTTTTTCCTGTAGCCATGTGTCACTAAAAAAATACATGTTTATTAATGAATAAGGCCAAGTGTGGTGGCTCACCCCTGTAGTCCCAGCACTTTGGGAGGCCAAGATGGGCAGATCACGAGGTCAGGAGTTCGAGACTAGGCTGACCAACATGGTGAAACCCTGTCTCTACTAAAAATACAAAAATTAGCTGCACGTGGTGGTGCACGCCTGTAATCCCACCTACTCAGGAGGCTGAGGCAGGAGAATCGCTTGAACCCAGGAGGCAGAGGTTGCGGTGAGCCGAGATCATGCCACTGCATTCCAAGCAAAACTCCATCTCAAATAAATAAATAAATAACTGACTAAGAGAGAAACAATATGAAGATATGTGATATTCCTTCATAATGCTTCTCCCTCAAAGATGAATACTTACCATTTGGGATCATAATTTTCTTGTTTTAAATAATTCTTCTGTTAGAAATCACTCAAACTTCTGAGATATTTCCCACTCTGAAAACCTGAGAAATAGAAAGTGTACCTTCCATTTAACGAATGAATTAGTAGACTGGGTTGTCCAAGCAGTTCTTATTGCCTTCACTTTTATTTTCTTCTTCTTTTTTTTTTTTTTTGAGATGGAGTTTCGCTCTTGTTACCTGGGCTGGAGTGCAATGGCGCGATCTCGGCTCACTGCAACCTCCGCCTCCTGAGTAGCTGGGATTACAGGCAT